TTCTTCCATCTGACTGTTCCTAAGTTATATCCTTTTATAATAAACTGGTGACCTAGTAAGTGAAAAAAAAACCAAAAAAGACCTGGAAATGTGCCTACCTCAACTGTAACCATTCCCCTCTACCCTCCCCCAAAGAACTGTCTGCTTTGCATGCACATGTTTAATCATCCATCTGGATAATTTCTAAACTGGAAATTATTTTAAATGCAACTATTTTCTACACTTAAAAAGGAACCTGTAAAATCGCACTGAAACCCACAAGTATTTGGATAAATGCAAATTAAAACAACAAATTACTATTGTATTGGAGACAGTTTTTTTTGTTTGTTTTTTTGCGGTACGCAGGCCTCTCACTGTTATGGCCTCTCCCGTTGCGGAGCACAGGCTACGGATGCGCAGGCTCAGCGGCCGTGGCTCACGGGCCTAGCCGCTCTGCGGCATGTGGGATCTTTCCCGGACCGGGGCACGAACCTGTGTCCCCTGCATCGGCAGGCAGACTCTCAACCACTGCACCACCAGGGAAGCCCTGGAGACAGTTTTAATAACTGAAACATCCAGCATAAATGAAGGTGCAAGAAAATGAGACTCTATTGGTTAGGATACAAATTGACATGATTATTTTGGTTGAATAATTTGGTAGTATCTATTTTTAAATGTTAGTGTTTAATGCAACCTTACCCAGAAATTCCGCTTGTAGGTATCTATACTACAGAGAAAAATAGCATGAATGCTTAAAAATATATGTACAAGGCTGTTTACCACAGCATTTCTTGTTATAGAAAAAAAAAGAGGACAAATTTCCATAAATAAGGAATACTTAAATGAATTATAGTAGAACCACACGATGAAATACCACACAGCCATGAAAAAGAACAAAATTGATCTGGAAGGTGGATGAGCTGGTACCTTAAGTGGAAAATACAATTAACAGAACATATTATCATGACTATAGACATATATGTGCATATATATATATATATAGAGAGAGAGAGAGAGAGAGAGAGAGGGAGAGGGAGAGAGAGGGAGAGAATACACACATATACTTGCATTTGCATGTATGGTTACATACTCACATAGAAGACTGAAACAATGAGTAATTTTTTCTTTAAAATGTTTTCTGATTTGAAAATATAATTCATTTTATTAAATGAGCCCATGTCTCAAATTAATTAGCAAATGGCAGGAAAAAAAATGAGAGATTTCTAAATGAAATGAAGACAAAATTACAGCAATTGTGAGACTACTTACAAGATCCTAAGAAATTAATTATCAGAAATTTCTCAAAACATAATTTAAAAAACTGCCAAGTGGCCAGAGGTAGAGCACTGGACTGAATGGCCAAGACTGGTGCAGAGGAGCCAAAGGGATGAGCCTGGGAGAAAGCTGAGGCCCAAATCCTGGAAGGGGCAGAGTTCAGAGCCACAACAACAAGAGGAAAGAAAAGAGAAGAAGCAAGTCAGGATGGGTGGGGGCTGGGGGAGGGGTCAGCGTCAGGGCAGGCAGTCACCCTCCCTCTCACCCAAAGTTCACTGGACTTTTCTTTAATAGGTATAGAATTACTCAAGTTATTCTTTTTTTTTAAGTAAATTTAATTAATTAATTAATTAATTATTTTTGGCTGCATTGGGTCTTCCTTGCTGCGTGCAGGCTTTCTCTAGTTGTGGCGAGCAGGGGCTTCTCTTCGTTGTGGTGCGTGGGCTTCCCACTGCGGTGGCTTCTCTTGTTGCGGAGCATGGGCTCTAGGCGCGCAGGGCTTAGTAGTTGTGGCTCGCAGGCTCTAGAGCGCAAGCTCAGTAGTTGTGGTGCGTGAGCTTGGTTGTTCCATGGTATGTGGGATCTTCCCGGACCAGGGCTCGAACCCGTGTCCCTGCATTGGCAGGCGGATTCTTAACCACTGCACCACCAGGGAAGTCCTATTCTTATTTCTAAAATGAGTTTTGGTAGTTTGTGTTTGAACACAAATTGTTGAATTTATAGAGTTGTTGCAGTCTTCCCTTATCCTTTCAATGTCTATAGGATCTGTAATATCACCTCTTTCAATACTGATATCGGTGATATATTTTCTCTCTTTTTTTTCTTGGTCAGTTTAGCTAGTAGTTCATCAATTTTATTCATCTCATCTGTGTCTTTTAAATTACCAAATCCAACGGTCTCTTCTTTGTATTCAAATTATTTGATTTCCCTACGAATTATTTGATTTGCCACTTTAAGAGTCTTTGACTTCTACAATACCCCTCTTCCAATTTTTCTTTACAATCATTAACGGCTCACTTTCATCTTTCAAAATTGTGCTCTAATCCTCTGCTTTCCACTTTAAAATCTCCCCCTCAACTAGATCATCTCCGTTATTCTCATGATCTCCTCATTCATGAGAAGCCCTGTATTTCCAACTGTCTCCTGTCCATCTAGTGCTATTATTTCCACTTTCAGTTAATGAATCCACCATCCCCCCTAAAGTTGAAACCCCGAGTCACCATTAACTCATTCTCATCCTTCAACTTATCTAACCAATTGGTAATCAAACTGCACCTTCCCTCTCAAACATTTCTTTGCATCTATGCACCTGCCTTGATCCATTCCCCAACTTGGACCTCTTTGATTCGTCACTGCCTGAATTCCAGCCAGCATCATTCTTGGCCAGACTGTTCTATGCTCCTCCCCTGCAAGCCACTGCCACAAGAAAAGCAGTTCTTTTTAACATACAGTCCATACCATGCCTTACTTCAGTGCTCCCTGCTGGCTCCAAGTTAAAGCCTGCTCATCACACTTTTTCTGCTCTTCCTCACATCTGCCCACCTGCCTGGTAGCAGACATTCCGGGTGCTTTCCTGCCTCCACGCCTTTGCCCATCTGTCCATCTGGCTGAACTCTGACTCACCCTTCCTGACCAGATTCAGAGGCTACCTTCTCTATGAAGCCTCTTTTCTTTTACATTTTTCCCACTGAGGTATAATAATATAGTGTACAGGGCACAGATATTAAGAGTGCAGCTGGATGACCTTTGACAGCCGCGTGTGCCGCGTGCACCCCGATCAATGCACGGAGCACTGTCTCCCCACCGTATCCCTCCCACCATCACTCTTCCCTCCGCCAGAGGCAACCACTGATCTGACCTCTCCTGTTTTGTACATCTTACAAGTGAAATCAACAGTATATGGTCTTTGTTTCTATGTCTGCCTTCTTTCATTCAGCATAAGCTTTCTGAGACTGATCCATGCTATTGTGCGTACACGTAGTTTATTCCATTTCATTGCTGAGTAGTGTCCATTGTACAGAGATACCACAGTTTGTGAACATTTACACGTTGATGAACATTTAGATTTTGGGGGCCCTGGGGGGTTGAAGCTGTCTTCATCCCTCTCTGCCCTTCTCTCCTTCAAGCTACACAGCATCACAGTTTATCATAGATGGGTCTCTCTTCCCCAGGTAACTCTAATAATATTAATAATAATATTTAATTTCCTTGGGCACCTACATGTGACTGGCAGCGTGCTAAGTACTTGATTTTTATCAGCTCATCCCATCACTACAACAGTCCCATACAGCAGACAATATGCTCACACCCAGGGACAGAGAGGAAACTGAGGCCTGCGGACGCCCAGTTCCTTCTTTAAGTTAACCCATCTGGTGAGTAGTAAAACCAAGATCAGGATCAAGATCTACCTCATGTCATTACTGCAAATTCTTAACAATTATGCCATAACACTACATGCCTGGTAAACATTAGGCTCTTGCTTTTTAAAAAATTTAGTTTCTATACTTTCTAAAGAAATGCAGCACTCATCAAATATGGCAATGGTGGGAAGTCCCTGGCGGTCCAGTGGTTAGGACTCCACGCTTCCACTGCCAGGGGCACGGGTTCAATCCCTGGTCGGGGAACTAAGATCCCCGCATGCCACGTGGTGCAGCCCAAAATAAAAACAAACAAACAAAAACAAATATGGCAATGGTTACCCCCAAAAGATACAGCTTACTCTTCACTGATAAAGGAACCAACCACCCTTGTGAAATGATTTTATAGGCCCTCTTATTTCAAAACAGCCGTTCTATTTTGCTCACAGTTTTGTGCATCAGAAACCTGGGAGGACTCAGCTGGGCAGTGCGTGCTTGGGGTCTCTCATGTGGCTACAGTCAGATGTCAGCGGGGATGCAGACACTGGGGGTTCTCCTGGGCTGCACATCCACATGGTGAATGCTGTCAGTGGTAGCCCCTTGGGGCTGCAGGCCCAGCACTGACTTGTGGCCTCTCCGGCACGGTGGTCTCAGGGCAGTCAGACTTCTGCCCCTCGTCTCCTCCACAGCGAGCATCCCAAGAGAACCAGGCAGAAGCCTCCCAACCTCCCACGTCACAGAGCATCCCTTCCGCCATGCTGTGTGGGTCACAGCAGCCATAAAACACCCAGACTCAAAAAGAGCGGACACGGAGCCCACCTCTTGATGAGAAGAGTGGCCAGGCCACATTACAGGAGAGCATGCAGGACGGAAGATGGCCTTCTTTGGAAAACAGAATCTGCCACAGCTATTGCCTTGAGATTGCTGACCTTCAAGGCATGTCATGTGGGCCATGGATGGTAAAGACTTTCAGCTTGGAAAACTCCTCTTTGGGGTCAACAGAATCCTCATTCACTGAATGCTGGTAAATAGGTGGGCTTTACTGGGGAAACTAAATAGGCAGAATCATTTCTATGTTTGTTTTATTTGAAAGTTATTTCACTCAGTGTGGAGCCAAGGATTGTGTGTCTTCAGAAACCCTTAAGTAGGAAATGCACAGCTTTGCTGACCACACGGCACCAAATGGGTCTCATCAGATATTCAGTCCTGCAAGTTATGTCATCAAGGGGAATTGTAAACATCTCCAAATGAAGTAATGCTTCTGGGTATTATAAAGCGATTTCATTCAAGCTATAATCACTTACTGTAAGAAGTGGCAATTTTTAAACTCTTTGTAAGGTAACCGTCAGGGTAAAGCTTAGGTAGCAAAAGACACGGCTCCACACTTACCTGGCTTTGCGGATGTGTAGCTGAGGGTAGTGGCTGTGCCTGTGACATATGTGCACGGCAAAGTCCTCATCATATGTCAGGCTTGGAATGTTCCCCACTTGGTCGAACACAGTTATGAGAGTCGAGCCTAAATCCCAGAGACAAAGAAGTGAGGCCTCGATTTACCAAGGAATGACTTTAGGACTTCAGGGCAAATGTAGTTTCCATTCTAATGTGTGTTTTAATTGTTACAGTCGAATGGGCACATTATACATTGAGGACCTGGAGACCCGTGGTTCTTATGTCCCATCCCCAAAGCCCCATTTTAAGCACAAATTTCCTACGTTAGCGACTGGGGTCAGGAGGTGGTGGAGGAGGACTTACCGAGGCTCATGTAGGACGGCACGATGAGGAATATGAAGTGCAAGTCTGGCACCGCCTTGAACACGGTCCTGGCGAGGGAATGGGAGGGGACGGGGTGTCAACAATCCTATTAGCCAGCACCTGGCGAGACGAACGCCTTCACTACAAAAATGAGGCGTTCATAGATCCACCTGGGTGCCCTGCTCCCTGCCTGCAAAGGCAAGAACGTCTTCGAGGCAATTCCTTTTTCTTCTCTGCTTTTCCCTGGATTCCAAATGACCCCTCTTCTATCTGTTCCATGGAGGCAGCGAGAACCGAGGCACCATGTCCACGCGGTGCACCAGGTTTCTGCTGAGATTAACCTTTGCCCTGGCATCTGGATGGTCTGGTGTGACACTGCAAAGTGACGTGAGAGCTGAGGCCACCACCCCCAAGTGTCTATGCAGCCTGTCAGAGACCCCTTGTGGCGGAAGCCCTGTGGGTCAGGTTTCTGCAGGCGGTCCTGTTAATAACATGTCTAAGGATGAGATTGAGGAAAACTATTTTTAGAAACATCCAAGCCTGTGACCTCTTCTCTTCCCCTCCTCCCCCCAAATCCATTTTTTTCAAATGACCGTGTGACCTGTTTGCCTCCAACAGTGGTAGTTAAAGGCGTCCATTCAAAGGAAGGATTGTATTCTTTCAGAAACATCACCACCGTTCAGAGTAAATGCTTGACTAGAGCCAGAAAGTACAAGCAAATTGAACACCTCAAAGAATTTCCTTTAAAAATATTTTTTTGACTATCCAGATAGTTAAAGACATGATAAAGACATGAACGTGTCTCGTCTACGATGCTGCTGCCACTGCCCCATGTCACTGTCTGCCACGCCGTGGCCACTCACCGAATAATCTCTTTGCAGCAGCCGACAGAATACTCGTCCACAGCCACAAAGAGGTGCATGAACAACGTGTTCAGAGGCTGCAGAAGAAAAGAGGACACGATTAGAGGCTGAGTCAGAGCAAGGGGAGGGGTGGGAGATAGGGGGAGGGTCTGGGGGCAGCCATGGCACAGAGCTGCCTGGTGTCGATGGAAGATATTTTATGTCTAAAATAAGGAGACACCCAGGCAGGGTTCGAGCCACTTTCTGTCCTCCTAGCTTGGAATTATTCAAGGAAAGGGGGGGTCGTAAATGAGTCCAGCGTGTCGGGCCCTTCCTCCCGCCTCACTACGGCCGCGGGCAGGGGGGCGCCTGCGGGGGACTGAAGTCCATTCTGAACTCAGTGGTCTTGTCCCCAGGGCGCCTCAGCCCAAGTGAAAGACAATCCTCCTCCCCCGGGGCTCTGGAGTCAGCAGCTGCTGCTCTATTCAAGTGACACCAGGGAAAGCGCCTCTCATGAATTTGGAGGATGGAAGGCAGATGCCCCACTAGGAATCCAACGGCTTGTTTTGTTCAACATTCCCAGAGTCAGAAGCAAATACTATGCTCGGGACCCAGAAAACCTGGGAGCGGAAAACAAAGTAGCAAGATTCTAATATGGCTTTCGGGTCACGTCTTTAGGGGTTTTAAAGAATGCTGCCCCGTAACTTTTTTTTTTAATTTTATCGAAGTATAGTTGATTTACGACACTGTATTATTCTTCCGTACAGCAATGTGACTCAGTTGTACTGAAGACTTTCTAAGTGGCTGGTCATGAGGAGTTGCTCTACACATCCCCACATCCCTCTGTTCAGCTCAGTACCCCTGTGTTTATGGACAGATCCTCAAATTCTAGAGACAATGCAAATGGGAGGGGGCTGAGTGGTGAGGTGAGGGCAGTGCTTGCACCTCGATCTGGACAACAGGAGCACTTCTGTGTCTCTTGTTTCCTGAGCAATTTCATAGATGGCCTTGGGTGACCACCTGCACATCCGTGTGCCTCGGTCTCCCCTCCTGTTGGGTGGCACGTGCCCTAAGAACACTCAGAAGGTGTTTATCAGACGTAAAATGGCGAGAGAAGAATCATGAGTTTAGTTCATGAGCTTGAAAACTCCCCAGAGGCAAGCAACACGAACTCCAGAGTCCAGATAACAATAGCGACAGTGAGAGTTCAATGTCGCAATGTGAGCACTTCCCATGCGTGGACTCACCTAACCCCATGGCATCTGCTTTACATTCTGGTCAGGACTCGCCTTGCTAGCGCATGGTTTATGACTTGGCTGATTTATCCCCCAAATTCTCTCTTCCATCAAAAATATTACAGTTCAATATTTATTCCTTAGCTTTAAGATAAAAATCATTATTTTAGTTGCAGATACCCCCGGGGTAGGTAAGCCATTAAGTCATAAGCCTCTATACCCATGCTGTCCAACAGGAAAATAATTCAAGCCACAAATGCTGGGAACATATGTAATTTTCAAGTTTCTAGTAGATATATTTTTAAAAGGAAGTAAACAGGTGAAATAAATGTTAATATATTTTATTTAACCTAATATATTCACATTATTATCCTTTTAAGAAGTAGTAAATATAAAAATTCTCAACAAGGTATTTTATACTCTTTTTTTTCCTACTGAGTGTTTGATGGCCAGTGCATATTTTATACTCAGAGCTCATCTCAGTTCAAACTAGCCACATTTCAAGTGCCCAAATAGCTACATATGGCTGATGTACCCTCCAGGACCGGCCCAGCTCTACACTATTGAAGGAAGTAGTTTAAAAAGAAACAATTTTAAAAGAATAAGAAAAGGAACAAAAGGGGAAAGAATTTAGGAAGAATGATGTTAATTTATAATTCTCAAAAAGATAAAATCATGACCCTAATGCAAATACAAAATGCACGTATCAGAGATTGATTCAACCCATCAATCCATGAGGCGACCAGTGAGATGATACAAAACGATTCATTGCACTTGAGACGCTGGCTTCAGGCAGTTTTAATGAGGAAATGTTAGAAGATTGCCCAGCTAGATACAAAAGAGTTCAGGTCCCACTGGGCCAGAAACTGTAACCTTTGAGGTTATCTCTTCCACCACACTGAAGTTATTTACATCTCAAATGAACAAAAATCTACCAGTTCATCACTGTTCCTGCGGAACTGTAAAATAGCTCAGTCAATAGAAAATCAATCAAAAGTACAAGCACAACGGAAAGAATCTTGTTGGCCTATTTCCAAGCTTGAGATAATTTTCTGACAGTGGTGACTGCGAGCGCAGGGGACCAGGGGGAGGCAGCCTCTAGCTGAACAGATGCTGGGTAACTAAGTGCTGGGCTGTGCGTGTTTGCGTGTGTGCGCGCGCACGAGTCCACTCGTTCACACCGTTGCCATTCCCCAGGGCTCCGGGACGCACTCTTGAACTCCACCGACAAGGCAAGCGTGCTGCCCGCAGTTGCAGCCTCAGCCTCTGGCTCTCTGCAGCAACTGGCCCGGATGCTGGCCTGGCTCTGGCAGCCAAGGGACAGCTCAGGCTACCAAAGCCCAACTCCCCGAGACCCGATGACCTGGCTTCTGTGGGTCGACAGGGTGTCCTGTGTCCGCAGCTGGGAGACATCAAATAAGCCAGAGTCCATGAGGGCACTTTGAAAATTACAGAGCATGACTTGAATCTGAGGCCCTGTTGTCATTATTTCAGGGGCAGATGTGTAAATGGCAGGTCCCTCCCAGCAGGTCAAAGACTTGGGAGCACAGCGTGGAGGCCTGGGAAGCGCAGTCCTGATGTTCCACTAATTCCTTGCCGTGCCCCACCCCCAGTCCTCCTCTGAGGCTTCCTGCTCTCAGACTCCCCTTCCCTCTCCACCAGATAAGTTCATTTCTGTCTGTCATGATGTCACACACTTTCTGTTGTGACTTTTGAACTGCTCAGTCTAAAAACTGAGAAAACCTATATGCAAACATAGGACTTCCCTTCCAAATTCAAGCTGTTCTCATAAGCAACGTGCATGGTTACTCACTGTGCATGGGATTTCACTGTCCAGCTCCCGGAACACGGACACCCAGTCGTCCTGTGGGGCGACATTCCAGTTGGGATAGTCTACGAAGGTGGCCTGGGCCATGATCTCCTCCTGGTCATTGTGGAGGGTGATGGCAAGGTTTGCCTTCTCCCTGCGGAAATGATTCCAATTGCACACATGAGGAAGGTACCAGAAGTGAGATGAAGAGGTGTCGTTTTCTCCCACCTTTGGCTACTGGATCTTGGCAACCACTGCACGAGATACGTTAGCCTATGGAAGAGGTGGGAGCGATGTGGCAGCAAGTATGGAAGTGCATCTTTCAGGACATCTGGTGCTACCAACCCCATCTTTACAGAAAATTACACTTCATTAGAAAGGTGTCACGTCTATGATATAACGTGTCCAATACCCCTCCCTTGGAGACAGGCTGGGGAAACCGTTGACCGTAGTCTTCCCCATCCTCTCCATGTTGCCAGCTCCACTGTGTTGCCCTAAACACATACATTTAGGATGGCCAACTGGCCCATGTACGTGTCCCTCACACACATGCACTTCCAGTACTTAATTATTTTCTTTAAGCCAGTTCACTTTTGGCTGAAATAAGTCTATTCCAATAAAAAAATTTTACATCGCTATCATAAATGGAAAACCATTATACCTTCCTATAAACAGAAGGTAACTATAAAAATGAAGAGATGACACTTAAAACAAAAATTGCTCTGGGGCTTCCCGGGTGGCGCAGTGGTTGAGAGTCCGCCTGCCGATGCAGGGGACACAGGTTCATGCCCCGGTCCAGGAAGATCCCACATGCTGCGGAGCGGCTGGGCTCATGAGCCATGGCCGCTGAGCCTGCGCGTCCGGAGCCTGTGTTCCGCAACGGGAGAGGCCACAACAGTGAGAGGCCCGCGTACCACTAAAAAAAAAAAAAAAAATTTCTTGCATGGTTTGAGTCAAATCACTTGGGGCCCACCAGAGCTGTGGGCACCTTTGGGAAACACTGTGCTCAGGACACCAATCTCAGCACTTCCAGCCACCATCCCCTCTCACAGGAAGTCACAGTCCTCAGCCACCGGGGACTCCACCAGGGGTGCCCCTGGCCCAGGCACTGCAGCTTGCTGCCCTCTGGTACCGAGAACAGGGGATCCACATAGGGCGCTCATTAGCGGGAGGAGGTAGCCCCCCAGCTCCTCCCGTCTGCTTCACTGAAGCCCCTACCCCTCATTCCACTCCCGCAGGGCTCCCTCCAGCTCCTGGTCCTCTGGGGTCCCCTGCTCCGGGCTCCCAGAGCCACGACCTATGGCTTCACACTGACAGTCCTTGCTCTAACCCAGATGAGAAAAGGCCCAGGGCACGGGACCACGGAGCATCAGCAATGATAGTGATAGAGGTGGTGGAGGAGGAAGTGGGCAAGAGCTGGGACCAGGCAGCTGCCATCCCCTCAGGGAAGCAAGGGAAATGTGTTCCTGGAATCCCAATTTGAACTTGAAATGCATTTATCCATGGGAACCTAGGGTGGCGGTTGTGTTCTGTAGTACAATTAGCATGGTACTATATGGCACAGACATTAGAGATTAAATAGGCTTTTGTGGGCAGCCAGCCACCAATAACATTGTTTCAATGGGAAAATGCACTGCAATTTCCAGAGAGCCTGACTACAAAAAGTAACTTTGGCAGCATATCCTTTTGTATGTACAATTTCACTTCTTACTACCTCTCAGCCAGTAGGTCCTCTACAGGACAGATAAAAATCATCATGGGAGCAAAAGAGGGAGAGGAGGGAAAAAGGTAGAGGGAGAAGGTGTGTTTCTTTAAAGCTGGTTTAAAATTATTCTTTGTAATAAGCCAAATCCAAACCAAAGGAGCCCTTAAAAATATATAGACATAAGCACGAGCACAGGTATGTATTTCACAGAAAATATATTAAAGCTCGAAGATATTATCCATCAATAGAAATTAGAGTTCTTTTCATTAGAGCAGTGCTTCATTTATTCAATTGGTTTAAGGAGTTTTCCAAGTTCAGCCAACACTCGTTTTACTTAACCGTACTTGGTGGAAATCTTGGTGAAACAGTGTCTCCATTTTCTGCCTCATTAAGCAGCGTGAGTGAAACAGGGCTCAAAGTCCCTTTACGTCCCCCTCCTCATGCTCTGAACCGTGGAGCTTCCGCCCCCCCTGACTGCACTGTGCCATCTGCACACCAAGTGGCCACTCTTGTGGCCCTTTCCCCACTCACCCGCTCTGCCCAATCCGCTCATGTCCTCCCCTAAAACTGAGCAGGGTTTTTAGGTGAGACCACTGTTACTCATTCCTGTATCTCTGTGACTGAGCCAGCAGTCAATAAAAGGAAACTGAATAAATGAGAAAAGAAACCGCCAGTTTTAGAAATGCCCGTAAGATGGGTCTGGAAGCTTGAGGCTGGCCGGCGAGGGGATGGGAGTTAGTTACCTAATGTGAAAATGAAAGGCTACAAGGGCTGGGTAGCAAGGGAGCTGTTTGGGGAGCTCCAGGACACTAATGAAAATGTAAATTTACTTTTACTTCTGAAAATAGGCTGTCTTCTAAGGCAGGTCTCAACGTTATAAGGGCCCCATTTTCACATTAAGAAAACTTTCACTACTCCCCTCCCACATGATGTAAGTTACGCCTTTTGTATCTGCCAATTCAGAAAATACATAAACACATCAGACACATGGATTCCAGGAACGCTTACAGCCACTCCAAGGCCCAGCAGGGGTAGGGTGCTCAGGGACCAGGGACCAGGGACCGGCACAGCACATGTCCAACACATTCTATTGGATGAGTCACAGCTCCAGGCTGATTTCAGAGGCAGAGACTACAGTGCAGGGAGGAACACAGAAGCCCAGAGAATAGGGGAGGCATGGGAGCCTCCAATGTCATCAACGCCCACACCTGCTTTAGCTGCAACACCAGAGTTAACTTGATTTCATGTATTGTATGTATTTACATTTACATATGTATAATTATATATCTAACATATATTTTTATTTTCATTCAACTCATGTATTCTAATTTTTCTTTTTGACCCATGATTATTTATTATTGCATTTAAAATTTTTCAAATATATGGGCGTTCCTTAATTATCTTTTTGTTATTGATCTCTAACTCCATTGCATTGTTGTCAAAGAACGCGCTTTGTAGTACTAACCACTGCTGGGGTTGCTTCATGGCCTAAGAGGAAGTTAGTTTTTATACATGTTTCCACGTCTACTTGACAAGATTATGTATGTTCTAACACTGGCTACAGTGTTCTACACATATCCGTTAGATCAAGTTCTTTAATTGGATTCTTGTTGAAATCTTTCCTGTTGTAACTGATTTTCAGTTTGCTTGACCTTTCATTTATTTTATATTTATTTATTTATTTATTTTGCGGTACGTGGGCCTCTCACTGTTGTGGCCTCTCCCGTTGTGGAGCGCAGGCTCTGGACGCGCAGGCTCAGCGGCCGTGGCTCGCGGGCCCAGCCGCTCCGCGGCATGTGGGATCTTCCCGGACCGGGGCATGAACCCGTGTCCCCTGCATCGGCATGCGGACTCTCAACCACTGGCTCACCAGGGAAGCCCGACCTTTCATTTATTAACAGAGGTATATTAAATCTCCCATTATGATGGTGGGTATGTCTATTTCATCCTTTGGTTCTATTGATTTTTTGCTTTATATATTTTATGACTGTCATTAGGAGAATGCAAGTTTAAATTGTCACACCTCCCTCAAGCACAAAATCTTTTATCATTATATTGCTATAATGACCCTCTTTATCTGCAATGATCCTTTCTGCCAAAAGTATATTTTGTCTGCTATTTATAGAGCAACAGTAGCCTTTTTTTGGATGAGATTTTGGCTGGCATCTTTTTTTTCCCAAATACTTTGACTTTAAATCCTTCTGTGACTTTATATATTAGGTGTGTCTCTTATATGTAAAATATGACTGCTGTTTGTTTTGTTCTGTTTTTAGCCAATCTGCCCATCTTTCTCTTTAAACTGAAAAATTTTGTTCAAATACATTTATTTTGATTACTGATATAACTGAACTGTTTTCTATCTTCCTATTACATGATTTTAATATGTGCTATGTTTTGTTTCTTTTTTCTTCCTTTCTTGCCTTCTTTGAGATTCAGTTTGTTATAAATTTCTTGTTCCATTTTCCCTCTATAGATCAGAAGCTATAATCTCTACACCTATCTTTAAATGATTATTCTAGCCACGTTAACATATATTTCTAACAAAGTCTTTACCCTCTGCTCCAGTTATCAACTGACATGTACCAAACCACCCCTAAGCTTAGTGGCTTAAAACAATTCATTATTATCCCTCATGGTTCTGTGGGCTGGCTGGGCTTGATTGAGAAGTTTTTGGTTGGGATCTCTCAGGTGATGGCAGTCAAGTGGTGCTGGTGGCCGGAGTCACCTGACTATCCAATGTCTAGAACAGCTCCACTCATACTGTTAGCAGTTGATGCTGGTTGTTGGCTGGGAGCTCGGCCGAGGATGCCAAGTGAAGCACCTGCGTGTGGCCACATGACTTGAGCGTTTAACAGTATGGCATCTGGGTTCCAAGAGGGAGCATTCCAGAGCCCAGTGGAAGCTGCAGACTTCTTATGATCTAGACTTGAAGTCATAAAGCATCACTTTTACTGACTTCTATTAGTTACACAGGGCCAACCCTGATTCAGGACAAGAAGGGACTACAAAAGGACTGAATGCAGGACGTGTGGCTCCTGGGAGGGAGGGGGAGCACCTCTGAATACTAGCTACTAACCCTCCCCCTGAACAATACCTTAAGAGTACTTTCAATCTAATCACATGACTCCCAATTTATCTGCTATTTTTGTCCTGTATTTTAGCTAACTTATTATTCATATAACTTACCATGTACATTTAATACCTTTATTAGTCATTATTAATGTTATTATTTTATACAAGCTAGATTTTTCTCATATTTGTACATATTTTTGTTTACATTCCTTCTTTTATCTTGGGTTTTCCAGCTGAGATATTCTTCCGTCTGCCTAGAGTATATTCTGAGGAATTTCCTTAATTCAGAGTTCACTCGTAAACTAGCTTTTGTTTGTCTAAAAAATGCATTCATTTTCCCCTAGGTATTGAAAAATTGTTTCTCTAGGTATACAATTCTAGTTTGATGTTATTTTCTCTCCAATATTAAAGACATTCCACTATCTTCTGGGTACCATTGTTGCTAGTGAGATATAATCATTAGTCTAATTTTTAGTTGTTTGCAGGTAATTTGTCTTTTCTTCATAGTTATTTTTCAGATCTTCTCTTTAGCTTTGGTGTTTTGCTGTTTCATTATGATGTGGTTAGTTGTAGAATTCTCTGTGTATTTTTCCTATTTGGGATCCATTGAGTTTTCTAGAAGAATTGGTGCTTCTCAACAATTCTGGGAAGTTCTCAGCCATTATCTCTTCAAATATTGACTCTTGCACTTCCTATCATCTCCCTTTAGAAGTCTGATTAGACCTATTTGTTAAATATTCCATTCTTATTTTTTGTCTCTGTCTCTTTGTGCTGAATTCTAGGTGATTTATTGGTATTGATGCCCCAGTTCACTACTTCTGTCTTTAGCTGTGTCTATTACAATGTCTAATTCATCCACAGAGCTTTTAATATTAACTATATTTTTTTCTAGATGGTCTATTAGACTTTTTTTAATTCTCATTTTTCATTTTTATGGTCTTTTAAAACATACCTTCTCACTTTAGACAAAGTAAGCATAGTTATTTTATATTCTTTAACTTAATATCTGAAGTCTTTGAGAGTCTGATTCTGCTGTATAGTTTTTTGTTGTTGGTTCTCACTAATGGTGAATGTCTCCTTGTATATTTTTGATTTTTGACCGTGAGCTCATGTTCCTTTGAATTTTATCTGTGAGTATTATTTGAAGTCTGAGCTGAAGCTCCACCCCTTCAGACCTGAGCTGTACTTATTTCAGTGGGTCTCCTGGACACACTACTAACGTGCAACCACTTTTAATCAAATTCTCCACTTCCTCTACTTTATTCAGTCTATGGGTAAACTAGTTTAGGTGGTCTAAAAATGCATTCATTACTTGGGAAGTTTTGAAGCTTTTGGGGACCATGCAGATAATTAACACAGACTTTGAATCAACACGTGCTTATGAATTCTTGGGGAAGGATTTATCCCCCTTCATTCATGCTGAGGTTGAAACAGGCTAGTTTCCTTACTTTTATGCAGTGGGTTTGTCTCCTTCATCCTTACAAAGAACTGCACAGTTTTATACAAAGAAATCTAATACTTCCCTCCTTAAGTGGATGGAGTATTTATCTTCTGTTCTTTGTGAACCTGTCAAAACAAAACTGTGAGGTTTCTAGAATGCAGCAAAAATCCTCAAGGAGAAAGTGGTGTGCGTTCCTGTTATTGTCCTGAAGTTTCTGATTTCATTTTGACAATGTTCTCTGCACAGTCCGTACGTGTGTGTGTGTGTGTGTGTGTGTATGTATCAACATGTTTCCATCCAGAGGACATCATTAAGGTGTTTAATTCACCATAATGTCAAAAAAAATGAAATCATTTCATTGTTATACATATTTTTAAAGCATTTTTATACACATATTGTTCTCCAACAAAACTGTGCCAAATTTACGTTACATTCATCAGTGTGGTGATCAGAAATTGCAAATTTTAATGTCTTAGGCTGGCCTAGTTTAAACATTTCAATTGTATTTAACCTGAAGCTTTATGAAATCCAAAACACTGTGCTCTCTCTTATCATTTTCAATAAAAATAATGAGGAACAGCTTATAGGATATTCATATTCTGGTGTCCAAAAAAAAAGAAAACAAAACAGGGAGAAAAAAGATTAAAAAAAAAAAAACCTAGGCATATTTTGAAGATTAGAAGAACATTTCAACAGGAGTGGCTAAGAGCACATCCAGGCTTTGTCACTTACTAACTGCTGGACCTTGGGCGAGCCTCCACTCTCTCATCTGTAAAATGGGCATGACAGTGGCTACCTCAGAGTTAAACAAGACGATGTTGGCAAAGCAGAGTCTGAAAGAAAATAAATTCTCAAAACAGGTAGCTAAGTGACTCTACTAGTGGGTGGGGCAGTTGAGATTTGAACCCTAGTTTGCCTGAATCCAGAAGTCATGAGAAGTCTTTTCAATTTACATGTTGTTACAGGACTTAGCGATGGTTGTTCCCAGAGATCTCCCACTCAATAGGGCAGATTTTCCTGCTGCCCTTTCCTCACCAAGCCCCACAAGGACAAAGGAGTGGAGCCCCTTTGCTATGTACTTACAGAAGAGAGATGATATTAAGACTCCCAAACAGCTTCTGGGTAAATTTTCTAATGAGGTTTTTGATGCAATAAAAATCCTGTGACTCTGTTCTTCGGCAGTGAACCACCTCCACCTTTCCTCTTGGAGAAGTGAGTACTGACATTTTTGATCCTGTTCCCGAAAGAGAGAAAAACAGCCCACAGTTAGCCTGAGATGACAAGCCAGTCTGGCTTCAGTACTTACGAAACAGGACATTCCTCCAATTTCCGTGTGGTCAGAGTGAGCGTGGCTGGTGGGACGCATCTCCCCTGGGGTTAGGCTGTGACAACTGTCCCCAAAAACCAGTTGACACGTGTCTCTCCAGGAGAATGATGTTTCTGAGGACTGGCCTGTCTAGAAATGTCTGCAACTGTATTCTTTGTTTCCCACAAAGCTGCTTTAAAATATTCAAACAATAGGACTGAAGAATATTGAAAGGAATTATTTACTGATTCAGGGTCTTCATATTTAATCAGCTGCCATGGCACGTGGTCAAGAGTTACAGGGGAAAAACAGTTGCCGCCCATGGTCCATACAGAGCTCCCCAAACTGGAGCCCTGAGGGGCAGCAGTCCTGAGAGGTATTTTGACGGGAAAAGAGTCCTGTGGTCCAATAAGTGTAAGAGGCACTGCTTGCAAAGGCCTTCTGCAGGGGCCGCTATGCCCATGAAAGTCTCTGGGAAGCTCCAGGATACAGTACCTGCTTTCTTTGTAGAACTCAGCCTTTCCCACAGCCAATCTGAGGAGAATCTCTAATGACAGCAATGGTGGAGAGTCTCATGTTCAGAGAGACATGGTGGGGATGCTGCTGACAGAACAGCAGGCAGCAAATGAGCTCAAGCTCTCTCTCTCGATGTCTCGAGGCCTCAATGTGTGTGTCTCTCCCTCCCTCTCTGTTTCCTTTCCTCCCTTCCTACCTCCATCTCTCCCTCCCTTCCTTTCTGTTTCCTCTCTTCTTTTTGCCTAAGGAAAAACATCTTATTTTCTTAGCCATTGGGAAGTTCACTTCCGCCATTGCACTGACTCTAAGAGCAGTGTGGGGACTTCCCTGGTGGCACAGTGGTTAAGAATCCACCTGCCAATGCAGGGGACACAGGTTCGAGCCCTGGTCCGGGAAGAACCCACATTCCATGGAGCAACTAAGCCAGTGCGCCACAACTAATGAGCCTGCGCTCTAGAGCCCGCGAGTCAAAACTACTGAGCCCGCGTGCCACAACTATTGAGCCCACGTGCCACAACTACTGAGCCCACGTGCCTAGAGCCCGTGCTCCGCAACAAGAGAAGCTACTGCAATGAGAAGCCCACACACTGCAACAAAGAGTAGCCCCCGCTCACCGCAACTAGAGAAAGCCCGCGCACAGCAACGACGACCCAACACAGTCAAAAATAAATAAATAAATATATATATATTAAAAAAATAAAAAGAGCAGCGTGGAGCGTTCCCAGTGCCCTGGAAGGCTGCCCCATCCCAAGGTAAGCACCATTCTGACTTCTATCACACAGATGCCCTTGGCCACTTTTTGAACACCCTATAAATGGAATTATACAGTGTGTATGGTTTTCTTTCAGAACACAGTATTATATCATTTGGCCTTTTGATGTTGTTTAGATATATTCTTGCACAAATTTCATGATGACTGCATTCCAATAAAATTTTACTTTATGGACACTGAAATTTGACTTTTATAATAGTGAGTGTATCCTGAAATATTCTTTTGGGTTTTTTTCAATTGTTTAAAAATGTTTTAAAAAAATTCTTAGCTCATGGGCCACACAAAAAATAGATAATGTGCTGAATTTGGCCTATGGGCTATCATTTCCCGACCACCAGAACAGTATTTTAAAAATACAGAGGTAAAAATAATCATTAACCTAGAATTCTATACCTACCTGAATGATCATTTAAAAATGAAAGTGAAATAAGACAATTACTACAAAGACTGAGAGAAATTACCATTCAAAGAACCCAGTTGAAAGGACTAGTAAAAGATGTATATCAGGAAGAAGAAAATTAAAATCAGAAAGGAGTGGAATACAGATGAAACGCTGGGGAGAGACTAGTAAACATGCATGTGTATCTAAATAAGCACTGATGGCCAGAAAAAAAAAAAGTAATAATGATGATAAATTTTGCTTTAAAAACAATAGCTGAATTGAATTACCAGACAATTAAAAATTTGTGAGATGGAAGGAAGGCAATCAGAAATAAAACATTCTAAGGTGTTTGAATCTTTTAGAGGCAGCTACAGATGATTAAACTTTGTCAAATCAATTGCGTTGAGTTACAAATTTAAGGGAACTCAAGGGAAATACCTTTTTATTTTAATAGCTATTTATTTATTTACTTCTCTTTATCGCAGTTATATAAAATCTCATTGAATTTATCCAAGATTTGAAAAATGAGATAACTTTAAAATGTTTAAATAATAATACGGTGGTACAGAGCTATGGCAAATGTTTTTATATCAGTTACGAATGACTTCCGTTTGAGAAATGAGCATAAAATTTTTTTTGAAAGCACTATTATTTTGAAAGCAGAGGTAGATGTGATAGTTCTATGTACATAAATATATAAATAAGTGACTTGTAACTGTCAAAAATTACCAATGAGCCATCAAGCCATGAAAAGACATGGAGGAATCTTAAATGCATATTACTAAGTGAAAGAAGCCAATCTGAAAAGGTTACACACTATATAATTCTAATGATATGACATTCTGAAAAAGACTCATTGAAGACAAAAAGTCAGTGGTTGCAGAAGCAAAAGGGGAGGGAGGGATGAATAGGTGGAGCACAAGGATTTTTAGGGCAGTGAAGCTATTCTTTATCATTCTATTATGATGGATACATGGCAATGTATTATTTGTCAAATCCCATACACTGTTCAACACCACGAGTGAACCCTCTGTTAACTATGAACACTGGGTGATGATGATGTGTGATGTGTCAATGTGGGTCCAAGGAATGTGACAAATGTACTACTATTGATAGTGGGGGGGTTGGAAGGGTCGGGAGAAATAGGAATTTTCTGTACCTTTCATTCAATTTTTCTGTGAATCTAAAACTGCTCTATAAAAATAAAGTCTATTATTTAAAAATTCTCTTAGCCATTTGCGTGCACATAATTAATTTTTCTGTTTCTGAAGACAGGTCAAGAACTATACCAGTTAACATTTACTGGGCACTTTACATAGATTTTCTCTTTAAACCTGGTGAAATAGATATTATTTTTGTCGTATAGTTAAGGACACTGGGGCTAAGAGAATTGACGAAATTAAGACAGTCACAGAAACTTTAAATATCTGCTTATCTGATCACAAGGCTGGCTTATTTACTAGTACTCTGATGACTTATTTTCACTTTTTTCTATTATCTGGCCTTAAAATACCTTCAGCTGCTTTTAGTTACAAGCCTTAGAGTTAATTATTGGGTCACACCTGTCCAGAAACCAAGTGGGAGTAGACCTCAGGGACTACAAAGCCTAGAACGCACCGCGGCGCCGGGTTGCCGAGCCGCCAAGCCGCCGAGGAGCGCGGCACCTCGCGCTCTGGCCTGCCTCTCTTCCCCCGCCCTCGAGCGTCCGGACCGGAGCCTGGTTCCTGTCCCTTTGCCCGGTGCCGCGGCTCCACAGAGCCACCCGTCCTCGCACGGTCATCCCAGTCCCTGAGGCGACCTGGGAATGCGCCCCGGACGCCCCGGAACCTACCCGCCTCCCTGCCGGGCAGCCAGCACTCCCCACCTCACCTGCAACTCCAGACGCCGTACTCCAACCGCGGCTCCGAGTAGGACGCGCAGCCCGGTTACCACAGAAACGACGTTGCCTCCGTCACGGCGCGAGAGGGAGGTCAAAGGTCACTCCAGGCATTTCCGCTTCCCGTTCCGGGATCCAGCTTGTTGGAAAGCTTTGCGGTGCGGGCGAGTACCCTGGGCCCATTTCTGGGGTCTAGGGGTCGCCTGAGTCTGCTGTTGCAGCCATGGCGGCCTCCACCGCGGCCGGGAAGCAGAGGATCCCCAAAGTGGCCAAGGTAGGCGGTGGCGCGGGGCTTCGTGGAAGGAGGCCTAGGAGAGGGTTTGGTCCCGCCTGAGTGGTTCCCGGGGCGGGAGGCGTGTGGTCCCGGGAGCCGGCCCACCCCGTGCGGGACCGCGGGGGAGCGGAAGGGAAGGGCCAGCCGGTGGGGGGCGGGGGGCGGGGAGACACACCAGTGTCCGCGGGGCCGTAGTGTGGGGAGGTGTTTTGCGAGGGAAGGAGTGGGGTCCTTCGATACAGACCAGCTGAGCCGGGTAAGCGCTAGGCGCTGGGGGGCTCCAACGAGGGCGGGCGACGAGCAGCCCTCCAGTAAGATACCTTAAGTGTAAAATTGCAACCTTGCAAAGGCTACTGAAGCCGAGTGGAATATGCCGTGGCATCTGGGCTTGTGTGAGGGGTTTCCAGCGTAAACTTTGCTGAGGAAGAGATAGTTAAGCTGACCCTTGAAGGCGGAATAGGAGTTACCCAGCTGAGAGTGGAGGGAATGAGAGTAGATGAGAAGAGTTGTGTGTTGGCATAATTTAAGCAATTAAACAAAATACCTGAAACGCGCTGATATTTCCGTCGGCGGCTAATACTTAGCGAGTGCTTAATATATGTGACAGGCTTTGTTATAAAGCATTTACAGCTACTCTCCCTCCACTCTGTTTCTGGAGCCTGTCCTTTACATACCCATGTAGATGACCCCCTGAGATAATGCGTAGAAAGCACATAGCACAGCTTCTGGTAGTTAATACTCATTAGGTATGAGCCATCGTCATTTTCATTAGCATCATTCTACACATGGCATTAATACTTAATATTAATTAATACTTAATATTTCTTATAATTCAGTTCCATAAACTTCTATTGGGCTCCATGGGTCCCACAGAAATATAACATGAGCCACATAGGTAATTGTAAGTTTTCTCATAGCTATGTTAAAACAGGTGACGTGAATTTTAATTTATATATTATATTTAGCTGGTGTAGCCAAGATAGTGTCATTCTAACATGTAAGGAATATAAAAAGTTTAATTAGGTAGTTTATTCTCTTTTTCATATTAAGTCTTCAAAATCCCGTGTGTGTTTTACACTTGCAGCCTAGTTTGGACTCACCAAATGTGATTCATGGCTGCTGTGTTGGACAGCACAGCTCTCAGACCTCAAGAAGCTTACAGTCTAATGATGGGAACTTACTGAATATGTCTTTGAAATGCCATGAAAAGTCAAACGCAGTTATCCACCTGGGGCAGAAGTTGAAGACTTCTGTAAATAGAGGTTGAAATGCCAGATAAGAAATGGCACACATCTTGATAAAACCTTTTGTGAGAATTTTACCAAGGCAGCCTCCAAGTTTATTATTACACTATTCTAAAAGGGAAAACTTGCTGGTTTTGCTATCTTGTCTCTTGAGGCTTTTACCTATGGCTTTGTAACAGATAACCTGCATAAGATAGAAAATACTTTTTTTACCTTGTTTCATAGAGAAATGGGAGCATGTCATGCAAAGAGGGCATCTTGTAGTAATGTTTATAAAGTTCACATCCAAAAATATGTTCATTTGTTTCTTAAACCTTGTTGTGAAGAGCACTTGCTAAAAATAGAAATGTTTCTTAAAAGGTGAAAAACAAAGCCCCAGCTGAGGTGCAGATAACTGCAGAGCAACTGCTAAGAGAAGCTAAGGAAAGAGAACTTGAGCTTCTTCCACCTCCCCCTCAACAGAAGATCACAGATGAAGAAGAGTTAAATGATTACAAACTAAGGAAGAGGAAGGTGGGTCCATGTGATATCTTTTAGTCTGTTGATGTTGTTAAGAATTTATAGGTCAGAGTTTGAAAAGTTCCTCACTGGTTAGAGAGACTAGAAGCTAAGAAGAGGTGAGTGTTTCTAGCCACGTGAATAGTATAACTTCTGGTTACCAGGTGATTGCATTGTGCTGAGCTCTATGAAATATGCCATGAGTTGTCTGTCTTAAAGAAATTAAATCCATCAGAGACAGAATGTTTGGTGCTGAAACAAAGATGAGTGGAAGTTTAACAGGCAGAACAACAGACAGCTGGAGGAGGGGTGGAATTAGCGAGATTGCATTATGTTCTTCTGTCTGTACCGCCTTGTGTGTTAAGAGGTAACACCTGGGATAGAGCCGCGAGAAGACTTGGGGATCTGATCCAACCTTCTCACCCTAGGATGTGGGATCATTTTAAACTGCTAATCTTACTGTATCTACTTATTAGTTATCCTCAATGAGCTGTGTATGAAATTCTGAGACATTGAGAGGACTTAAATAGGTAAAAACGTTTTCTTATTAGGAAAAGTGTAGAGTATATTAAAGTACCAGTTAGTTGTCATGAGCAATAAGAGAAAATATCAACAATTCTACTAATAATTCTTTTTATCTGAAGTTTTTCTCTCTGTTTGCATGTAAGACTTTAAGGAAATACTTGTGACCATAACCTTCTTTAGTAGGTTTCTTATTTCTTGAGGCTTCCAGGATGTAATTTCTCTTAAATAAGAGCAAAATGAATAAACTTCTTAGTACAAAGATCAATAGACAAAAGACGATATCATTTTTAGTTATTTTCCCTTTAATTTGACCCTTTTTGCCTTTTGCCAGACTTTTGAAGATAACATAAGAAAAAACAGGACTGTGATTAGTAACTGGATAAAATATGCACAATGGGAAGAGAGTCTAAAGGAGATTCAAAGGTAAAAATCACTGAGCATGTAATTGTATAAATAAAAATTCATAAATTACCAGATACTAAAACAGAAAAAGTTAAAGCACGAGTAAAACCGTGTGTCTCTGGTAGTAGTTTTCAAAGTCTGTTCCATGGGACCCTAGGGTTCCTTTGAGGGGCGTGAGGGCCACTGTGGTGGAACAGTCCTGGGGGGAGCAGTGGAGGCTCTCCAAGGTGGGTCTCGCCATGGGCACACACTTTATAGCCAGAGAAGTGCAGTTCCATCTGCTGTCTCCATATTGGGATTTTTTTTTTTTTAATAAAAATTGTTCCACTGAAAACCAGTGGCCAAAAAGATGACATCACAGCCTGAGCCTTCCTGTCGTCCCCTTTTCTGTGTTCTCCCAGCGTGCCCCCTGCTCTGGCTGGGCCCGAGCACCTGTCGCTCCCTGGACACATCTTGCCTCCTCAACCTGACATCTGGCTGTTCTCTCTGCCCGCACTGAGCATCCTCCCTACCCACCTTGGCCTCTGGAACTTTTCCCAAGTTCTTACCTACTGCCTGGCCTTTTCCACCAGACGTTTTCATTTCTTTCCCCTCTACTTCCTTGTGCAGACCTTGACTATAACATTTGTCACATTGCGTTGCAATTACACGCATGTCAGTCTTTCTCTGAGTCTTGTTAAGGTTCCTGAGAACATCAGATCTTTTCACCTTTTTATGCCCAGAACCTGGCTCATGGTAAACACCTGACAGAATAGCAGAGCACTGCAGACGGTTTCAAATGCTTGCCATGTGTGTTGCGTGTACTGTTTCTGATACCCTCCAAATCTTGCTTCTCTAGGGCTCGATCCATATACGAACGTGCTTTGGATGTGGACTATCGAAATATTACACTCTGGCTGAAATATGCAGAAATGGAAATGAAGAATCGCCAGGTCAACCATGCCCGAAATATCTGGGACCGGGCCATAACGACTCTGCCTCGCGTCAACCAGTTCTGGTAAGTTTCTGATCTATTGAAATGGCTTTTTGTAGACTACAAATATCCACATTTTTGTGTATTTATTTTATTTATAGTTGTGATCGTATATATATTTAATCTTACATCTTATTTTTTCTTTAAACATACTATCAGTACTTTTTAATGTCCTTTAGTCTGCTAAGTTATAATCTCAATGTATAATAGCTGTGTAATCAAAACAAATTTTGGTTGTAATCTTTTATGCATAAAAATCATCTTGTCAAACTAAGCAACTTTTGAGGAGAAAAATCCTTTTTTCCAATGGTTGATCCTTTTCAGATTTACATTTTAATAAGAAAACATGTTTGACTTAACCTTTAGGGAAGATAAAGCCCTAAATCTTCTTCATGTTTAACAAAGTTAGAGCTAGAAATTGCCAGAGACTGTTTTTTTCCCTAAGTCATTTTGACCATGACAGATAATTTGGGATGATTTTGTTAAAGGTACAAGTACACGTACATGGAGGAGATGCTGGGGAACATGGCGGGTGCCCGGCAGGTGTTCGAGCGCTGGATGGAGTGGCAGCCAGAGGAGCAGGCCTGGCACTCCTACATCAACTTCGAGCTGAGATACAAAGAGGTGGATCGGGCCCGCACCATTTATGAACGCTATATCCTTTGGACGGGTCTGCGTGGTGCCCTTTTCCCAGGTGCTGCACTCTCGTGGGGCTGTGGTCTGGTTGGGACATGTGGTCATTGATGTTGGCCTAGAAGTCAACATCTGCTGCGTAGACTTCGTTTATATTTTCTAGGGACACAGGTTGGTCAGAAAAAAAGTTTGTGGTCTGGATAATTGAATCTTTTCCGGTGAGACTTTGGTCTGTTTATACTTTGGCATTAACACTGTGGTTCCTTGTGGAAGGTGACATCCTAAGGCCCTGGCCGCTGCATTGGGTCCTGGTTTGTTCTGGGGTGTATGTTGGTCATTAGCACCGGTACTGGAGTCGATCTAGAGGGTTACCATTTACTAGCCATGTGACCTCAATGCATCGGGTAACTCCTTGGAGCCTTGGTGTCCTCATCTTTAAAAGGAAGGTAAAAGTTCCCGCTGTGGGCTGACTGTGAAGAGGAGATGGTAACACGGGAAAGCACTCTCAGGAACTTGAAATAGTTGATTCTACTTTTTCACTGTTCTTGTACTTGTGAATTCTCCTACTTGCTAAAGTTTATTTGTAAACCCAAAATCAGTATTTGTGGTACTTTGGCAGTCAGTTGCAGACAAGCCCAGAGTGATGAAAACTTTGAATCACCCAAGGCACATGGTCCCAGTTGAGGACAAACAAGATAATCATCTGCCTTCTGTCTCTGCTGTCCTGCAAGGATGACCGGAGCAAGGGATGGCGGGGGGCGGTACAGGGGAGAGAGAGACACTTCAGCTCTGGGGCCAGCTGCATGGGGCTGAATCCTTTCTCTGGCACCAGTTAGTGGGCAGCCTCAGGCAAGTCACTTAACACTTCTGAGACTTGTTTTCTCTTTCATAAAATAAAGAAAATAGAATCTACCAACATTAGTTGTTTTTAGGATTTAAAATCACAATCTGTGTGAGATGTGTGTGTGTGTATATATATGTGTGTGTGTGTATTTCCCCTAGGAGCAGTGATTTGGTATTTGCTAGGCAGAATGACTTCATAGAACATAACTACTGCGAGATCCAAGACAACTTTATTATGCAATTTTAACCTCTTAATTATGACTACTCATTTTGATATTACTAGTTTAACAACAGCATTTATAGTGACTGCTTTGTGCCATGCATTATTCTAAGCACTTTACAGATATTGTCCTTTAATCCCCACCACAGCCCTGTGACTCAGGAAATTGCTTCATTCTACAGATGAGGAAACAGGCGGGAGAGGGTCTCTCGGGTAGTGATGGAGATGGGATTTGAACCCAGTAGCCGCTTTAGAGCCTGCACTCTTTACATCGTTGCCCTATTTGAATGTATTACTACTTAAGAAATTAACGATTTCTTCACGGAAGGTAGATTAAAAATACATACGTCCTGTGAAGAAGTAAATGGTAATTCAGAACTTTCTCTTTTGGCTCTGGTTAGAAGTTTTCCTTTTGTCACATGTTTTTTTCTTTCTTCCTTTCTTTCTTTTTAAGATTTTTTTTTTTGTCTGCGCCACGAACCTTGCAGAATCTTAGTTGTCAGACCAGGGATTGAACCTGGACCATGGCAGTGAAAGTGCCAAGTCCTAACCACTGGACTGCTAGGGAACTTCCTTTTTTTTTTTTTCCTTAAATTTTTATTGGAGTATAGTTGATTTACAGTGTTGTGTTAGTTTCACGTGTACAGCAAAGTGAATCAGTTATACATATATATGTATCCATTCTTTTTCAGATTCTTTTCCCATATAGGTTACCACAGAACATTGAGTAGAGTTCCCTGTGCTATACAGTAGGTCCCTGTTATCTATCTTATATATAGTAGTGTGTATATGTTAATCCCAGTCTCCCAATCGATCACTTCCCCTGACATTTCCCCTTTGGTAACCATAAGTTTGATTTCAAGATCGATGAGTCTGTTTCTCTCTGCAAAAAAGTTCATTTGTATCATTTTTTAAAATTAAATTCCACATATAAGTGATATATATTTGTCTTTCTCTGCCTGACTTACTTCACTTAGTAAGATAATTTCTAGATTTATCCATGTTACTGCAAATGGCATTATTTCGTTCTTTTTTATGGCTGAGTAGTATTCCATTGTATATATGTACAATATCTCATTTATCCATTCCTTTGTAAATGGACATTTAGGTTGTTTCCATGTCTTCACTATCGTAAATGCTGCTACAATGAACATGGGGTACATGTATTGTTTCAAATTACAGTTTTCTCCAGATGTATGCTCAGATTGCTGGATCATATGGTAGTTCTATGTGTAGTTTGTGTTTTTTTCCAAACATCTTTATTGGAGTATAATTGCTTTACAGTGGTGTGTTAGTTTCTGCTGTATCACAAAGTGAATCAGCTATACGTATACATATATTTCCATATCCCCTCCCTCTTGCAACTCCCTCCCACCCTCCCTATCCCACCCCTCTAGGTGGTCACAAAGCACTGAGCTGATCTCCCCATGCTATGCGGCTGCTTCCCACTAGCTACCTGTTTTACATTTGGTAGTGTATATATGTCCATGCCACTCTCTCACTTCGTCCCAGCTTACCCTTCCCCTCTCCTCGTGTCCTCAAGTCCATTCTCTGTGCCATTCTCTATGTCTGCGTCTTTATTCCTGTCCTACCCCTAGGTTCTTCAGAACCTTTTTTTTTTAAATTCCATATATATGTGTTAGCATATGTTATTTGTTTTTCTTTCTGACTTACTTCAGTCTGTATAACAGACTCTAGGTCCATCCACCTCACTACAAATAACTCACTTTCGTTTCTTTTATGGCTGAGTAATATTCCATTGTATATATGTGCCACGTCTTCTTTATCTGTTCATCTGTCAATGGACACTTAGGTTGCTTCCATGTCCTGGCTATTGTAAATAGTGCTGCAATGAACATTGTGGTACATGACTTTGAATTATGGTTTTCTCAGGGTATGTGCCCAGTAGTGGGATTGCTGGGTGGTATGGTAGTTCTATTTTTAGTTTTTTAAGGAACCTCCATACTGTTGTCCATAGTGGCTGTATCAATTTACATTCCCACCAACAGTGCAAGAGAGTTCCCTTTTCTCCACACCCTCTCCAGCATTTATTATTTGTAGACTTTTTTTTTTTTCTTTTTGCGGTACGCGGGCCTCTCACTGTTGTGGCCTCTCCTGTTGCGGAGCACAGGCTCTAGCCGCACAGGCTCAGCGGCCATGGCTCACGGGCCCAGCCGCTCCGCAGCATGTGGGATCTTCCCGGACCGGGGCATGAACCCGTGTCCCCTGCATCGGCAGGCGGACTCTCAACCACTGCGCCACCAGGGAAGCCCTGTTTGTAGACTTTTTGATGATGACCATTCTGACTGGTGTGAGGTGATACCTCATTGGTTTTGGAAGTTGGAAGTTTTGATGTGCATTTCTCTAATAATTAGTGATGTTGAGCATCTTTTCAAGTGCATTTTGACCATCTCTCTGTCCTCTTTGGAGAAATGTCTGTTTAGATCTTCTGACCATTTGTTGATTGGGTTGTTTGTTTTTTTGATATAGAGCTGCATGAGCTATTTGTATATTTTGGAGATTAATCACTTGTTGGTTGCTTCATTTGCAAATATTTTCTCCCATTCTGTGGGTTGTCTTTTCGTTTTGTTTATGGTTTCCTTTGATGTGCAAGGGCTTTTAAGTTTAATTAGGTCCCATTTATTTTTGTTTTTAATTTCATTACTCTAGGAGGTGGAACCAAAAAGATGTTGCTGTGATTTATGTCAGAGTGTTCTGCCTGTTTTCCTCTGAGTATCTGGCTTTACATTTAGTTCTTTAATGTATTTTGAGGTTATTTTTATATATGGTGTTAGGGAGTGTTCTAATTTCATTCATTTACATGTAACTATCCAGTTTTCTCAGCACCCCTTATTAAAGAGGTTATCTTTGCTCGATTTTATGTTCTGGCCTCTTTTGTCGTAGATTAGTTGACCATAGGTGTGTGGGTTTATCGCTGAGCTTTCTGTCCTGTTCTCTAGATCTATATTTCTGTTTTTGTGCCAATACCATACTGTTTTGATGACTGTAGCTTTGTAGTATAGTCTGAAGCCAGGGAGCCTAATTCCTCCAACTCTGTTTTTTTCCCTCAAGATTGCCTTGGCTGTTTGGGGTCTTTTGTGTTTCCATACAGATTAAAACTTTTTTTCTTTTAGTTCTGTGAAAAATGCCATTGATAGGGATTGCATTGAATCTCTAGGTTGCCTTGGGTAGTGTAGTAATTTTGACAATGCTGATTCTTCCAATCCAAGAACATGTTATATCTTTCCATCTGTTTGTGTTGTCTTTGATTTCTTTCATTATTAGCGTTTTATAGTTTTCTAAGTACAAATGTTTTGCCTTCTTACATAATAGGTTTACTCCCAGGTATTTTATTCTTTTTGATGTGATGGTAAATGGGATTGTTTCCTTAATTTCTCTTTCTGATCGTTCGTTGTTAGTGTATAGGAATGCAAGAGATTTCTGTGTATTTTGTATCCTTCAGCTTTACCAGATTGAGCTCTAGTAGTTTTCTGGTAGTATCTTTGGGATTTTCTAAGTATAATATCATGTCGTCTGCAAACAGTGACAGTTTTACTTTCTCTCCAGTTTGGATTCCTTTTATTTTTATTCTCTGATTGCCATGCCTAGGACTTCCAAAACTATGTTGAATAAAAGTGGTAACAGTGGACATCCTTGCCTTGTTCCTGATCTTAGAGGAAATGCTTTCAGTTTTTCACCATTGAGTATGATGTTAGCTGTGGGTTTGTCATATATGGCCTTTATTATGTTGAGGTATGTCCCCTCTGTGCCCACTTTTTGGAGAGTTTTTATCATAAATGGGTGTTGAATTTTGTCAGAAGCTTTTTCTGCATCTATTGAGATGATCATATGGTTTTTATTCTTCAGTTAACATGGTGTATCACACTGATTGATTTGCAGATATTGAAGCATCCTTGCATCCCTTGGATAAATCCCACTTGATCATGGTGTATGATCCTTTTAATGTATTGTTTGATTAGGTTTGCTAGTATTTTGTTGAGGATTTTTGCATCTGTGTTCATTAGTGATATTGACCTGTAATTTTCTTTTTTTGTGGTACCTTTTACTGGTTTTGGTATTGGGATGATGGTGGCCTTGTAGAATGAACTTGGGAGTATTCCTTCCTCTGCAATTTTTTGGAAAAGTTTCGGAAGAATCGGTGTTAACGGAGTCTTCTCTAAGTGTTCAATAGAATTCATCTGTGAAGCCATCTAGTCCTGGACTTTTGTTTGTTGGAAGTTTTTAATCACAGTTTCAACTTCAGTACTTGAGATTGGTCGGTTCATGTTTTCTATTTCTTCCTGGTTCAGTCTTGGAAGGTTGTATCTTTCTAAGAATTTGCTAAGAATTTGTCCATTTCTTCTAGGTTGTCCATTTTATTGGCGTATGGTTGCTTTAGTAGTCCCTTATGATCCTTGGTTTTTCTGTGGTGTCAGTTGTACCTTCTCCTTTTTCATTTCTAATTTTATTGATTTGAGGCGTCTCCCTTTTTTTTCTTGATGAGTCTGGCTAAAGGTTTATCAGTTTTGTTTATCTTTTCAAAGAACCAGCTTTTCATTGATTTTTTTTCCTATTGTTTTTTTCTATTTCATTTATTTCTGCTCTGAACTTGATGATTACTTTCCTTCTACTAACTTTGGGGTTTTTGTTGTTCTTCTTTCTCTTGTTGCTTTAGGTGTAAGGTTAGGTTGTTTACTTGAGATTTTTCTTGTTTTCTGACGTAAGATTGTATTGCTGTAAACTTCCCTCTTAGAACTGCTTTTGCTGCATCCAGTAGGTTTTGGACTGTTGTGTTTTTGTTGTCATTTGTTTCTAGGTATTTTATGATTTCCTCTTTGAGTTCTTCAGTGATCCCTTGGTTGTTTAGTAACATATTGTTCAGCTTCCAAGTGTTTGTGTTTTTTAGTTTTTTTCCTGTAATTGATTTCTAATCTCACAGCGTTGTGGTTAGAAAAGATGCTTGATATGATCTCAATTTTCTTAAATTTACCGAGGCTTGACGTGTGGCCCAATATGTGATCTATCCTGGAGAATGTTCCATATGCACTTGAAGAAAGTGTATTCTGTTGCTTTCGAATGGAATGTTCTGTAAATATCAATTAGGTCTATCTGGTCTAATGTGTCATTTAAAGGCCTGTGTTTCCTGATTGATTTTCTGTCTGGATGATCTGTCCATTGATGAAAGTGGGGTGTTGAAGTCCCCCACTATTATTGTGTTACTGTCGATTTCCCCTTTTATGGCTGTTAGCATTTGCCTTATGTATCAAGGTGCTCCTATGTTGGGTGCCTCTATATTTACAATTGTTACATCTTCTTGAATTGATCCCTTGATCATTATGTAGTGTCCTTCCTTGTCTCTTGTAAGAGTCTTTATTTTAAAGGCTGTTTTGTCTGATATGAGTATTGCTACTCCAGCTTTGATTTCCATTTGCATGGAATACCTTTTTCCATCCCCTCACTTTCAGTCTGTGTCCCTAGATCTGAAGTGGGTCTCTTGTAGACAGCATATATACGGGTCTTGTTTTTGTATCCATTTAGCCAGTCTGTGTTCTTTGATTGGAGCATTTAATCCATTTACATTTAAGGTAGTTATCGATATGTATGTCCTTATTGCCATTTCCTTAATTGTTTTGGATTTGTTTTTGTAGGTTTTTTTCTTCCCTTCCTCTTTTGTTCTCTTGTCTTGTGATTTGATGACTGTCTTTAGTGTTGTGTTTGGATTGCTTTTGTGTGTGTGTATCTATTGTAGTTTTTTGGTTTGCAGGTTCCATGAGGTTTTGATATAGCAGTCTATGTATATATATACACAAGGTTGTTTTAAGTTGCTTGTCTCTTAATTTCAGGTGCATTTCCCATTTCCTGCATTTGTATTCTCCTCTTCTCACGGTTACTGGTTTTGATAACGTGTGTGTGGATAATTTCCTGCCTTTACTTTATGTTTGCCTTTACCAGTGAGCTTTCCCATTTCTTGTTTCTAGTCGTGGCCTTTTCTTTTCCACCTAAAGAAGTACCTTTAGCATTTGTTGTAAAGCTGGTTTGGTGGTGCTGAATTCTCTTAGCTTTCGCTTGTCTGTAAATTTTTTGATTTCTCCATTGAATCTGAATGAGAGCCTTGCTGGGTAGAGTATTCTTGGTTGTACGTTTTTCCCTTTCATCACTTTAAATATATGGTGCCACGCCATTCTGGCCTGCAGTTTCAGCTGAAAAATCAGCTGATAACCTCATGGGGATTCTCTTGTATGTTATTTGTTGCTTTTCCCTTGTTGCTTTGATATTTTTTCTTTGTATTTAATTTTTGTCACTTTGATTAATATGTGTCTTGGGGGCTTCCCTGGTGGCGCAGTGGTTGAGAGTCCACCTGCCAATGCAGCGGACACGGGTTCGTGCCCTGGTCCGGGAGGATCCCACATGCTGCAGAGCAGCTGGGTCCGTGAGCCATGGCCACTGGGCCTGCGTGTCCGGAGCCTGTGCTCCGCAACGGGAGAGGCTACAACAGTGAGAGGACCGCGTACCGCAAAAATAAAAAAAAAAAAAAACAATATGTGTCTTGGCCTGTTCCTCCTTGGGTTCAGGTCGGAGGGGGCTGGGCCAGGAATTGGGGTGTTCAAGCCCACCCACGTGGGAGTCCCTCCCAGTGCATGTGGAGGCAGGGCCTGGTACGTGGAGAAGGAGGCTGCAATGGCAGCCCCAGCTTCCTCCACAAACGTTCCTGGTTGCTGGAGCTCCGCACTCCTGTCCCTCCAGGCTGTCTCTGTGCAGCCAACGGCAGTCTTCTCCCCGGATCTGCTCTCCAACGCCATGTTCCAGCACCCAGCCCCTTCTGCACCGGCAGACACACGTCTCAGGTTGGGGTGTGCAGGGCTGAGGCAGGGACCATCTGTGTAGGTCACACTCTGTCCTGCCTGCCACAGACCAGTTGCTGCGCTCTTCTGCAAGCCCCTGAAGCTCCCCTTCTGTCCCAGCTGATCTCCCCACCAGGGAGGGGGCTTCCCTGGGTGCGGGAGCCTCCCCACTCCTTAAGCTCCCCCAAAGGGGCGCAGGTCCCATCCCCCTTCCTCTTCTTTTTGTTTCTTTTGTCCTACCTGGTTATGCAGGGATCTTTCTTGCCCTTTCAGGTGTCTGAGGTCCTCTGCAAGTGTTCAGCAGGTGCTCTGTGAGAACTGTTCCATTTGTAGATGTATTCTTAATGTATTTGTGGGGTGAGGTGAGCTCCATGTACTCCTATTCAGCTATCTTGACTCCTCCCACATGTTTTTTTGCTTAATCAGTAATTCAAATATTAATGTTATTGAGCAGATACTACAAAAAGTGCCATTTGTTGAGCACATTCTTTTGGCCTGAAATTGCTAAGAGCTTTACACACATTTTTCTCATTTAAAGTTGGCAATCATCAAATGAGGTTGGTTGGTATTATTTTCCTCTATTTATAGATGATAAAACTGAGGCTTAGATAAGATTAATGACTTGTCCAGATCACGTGCCTAGTCATAGGCTTCAGCTTTTTCGTGGCTCCAAACTCCTGTTTGTACCACTCCTGAAATACTGAATACGAGTTGGAGGAGGCCACACAGACAAGACACGGCCTCTTGGGTGGTCACAGGTTAGTGGGTCTCCACCTTCGTACATGTGTTATCTCCCCTGTAGCCACCCATAGTGTGTGGTGTTGAGGTTCTGGATTTGGGTTTGGGTTTTTGCTTTTTAAGCCACGTTGTTCTGCCTGGTTTTTCTTTAATCCCGCTCACTTGTTCTTGTGCACCCTGATGTGAAGAACTGGATCAAGTACGCCCGCTTTGAAGAAAAGCATGGTTACTTTGCCCATGCGCGGAAGGTGTATGAGAGAGCTGTCGAATTCTTTGGGGATGAACATATGGATGAACACCTTTATGTTGCCTTTGCCAAATTTGAGGAAAATCAGAAAGAAGTAAGTAAACTTGAAGGAACTTGATTATGTTGCAAAACAGCTTAGAAAAGATTACTTTTTGTGCACATTGAGTTCACTTACATTTTCTTATTCACTTATCCTTGGAGAAAATGCTTTCAAGATATGAAAATGTGATTTCTCAAGGAAAACAGCATATATCTGGCTAAGCTGCAGGTTGGGAGTGAGTGATTATGGATTATATTATAACTGTCTTAATTTTGTTGTGCTCTGCTTCAAAATTAAGTCTTTAAACCTAAATGAGAATATTATCTGTAAACTGAGAGTCATTTGATACTCTGATTAAAGGGCTTTACAGGTAATGAACCTGGGAAACAAAAAGCCCCAGAGCCCTCAGTACAGAGAACAGAATATGAAATGGAAACAGAGATTGTCCCACGAGAAGTCAGTTATTTTCTCCCATAGTATGTATGGAAAATAATCCTGAAATGTAGCTCAGATAATACAGGAGGGGGAGGGGTTGGCTGGGATCTGAATGCAGGGTCTTGCACAGGTCCCAGAGGTGAGTTCAGATTCTGTCCTCAGGCCGGTGGGAAGTGTGGAGGGTCTTAAGCAGGAGGTGGTCGGATGTCATCTGTGCTGTGAGGGGAGCCTCTGGCTGGTTCATGCAGAGTGTATTGGGAAGAGGGCGGCAGAGTGGGCATGGGGGCGCTTTTCACATGGTCAAGGGAGAAATGGAGGTGGGTCGGCAGAGGCCTGGGGAGAAGTGAAGGGCTGTGTTGAGGAGGTAGAAAGGGCAGGGCTGTGGAAGCAGCCAGTGTGAGGAATGCAGGAGAGAGGAGTTGGGGAGGCCCCTGACAGAGCAGGTGTGTGATCAGGGTGGTGGGTGTGACTGCCCAGGACGGGGAGTCTGACAACGACCCAGCTGGGCGGGAGGAGCGAGCTTGGGTGAGTCTGAGATGCATGGACGACATCCAGCTGGCAGCGTTAGGTACACTGTTAAATGTGGGGCTCAGAGGAAAGTGTCAGTCCATCCTGGCTAAAAGTACCTCAACAAAAGGGAGAAGAAAAGTCGTACTTCGGGCATTTTGAGGCCTCATAATCTAACTTACAAGTAATGTTTTATGTCATAATTACTCTTCAAGTTGTGGCTAGAATGAGAATACTGTGTTCTGGAAGATAATCATCCTGTCTGCTTTCAGTTTGAGAGGGTACGAGTGATCTATAAGTACGCCCTGGATCGAATTTCAAAGCAGGAAGCCCAGGAACTCTTTAAAAATTACACCATCTTTGAGAAGAAGTTTGGTGACAGGCGGGGCATTGAAGACATCATCGTGAGCAAACGGAGGTTCCAGTACGAGGAGGAGGTGAAGGTGAGCACTGGCGGTGAGTGGTTGTGCTGGCAGGGACCTGCTGGCTAGTCCTGGGCCACAGCATCGCTCTCCGTCCTGTGTGTGCAGTAAATTGGCATTCCAGATGGGGAGGTAAACGGGGCTGGTAGAAAAGGCAAGCAGACAGCGCTTGGATTTGCTCTGCCACTCGCATGTTGGAAGTCACTTTGTTGGTTGCTGATTATACACAAAGAACTTGAGCAAAAGCAATCTGAAATCCATTTGAGCTCACTTTTTAAAGAAGATGGAAGAGTCAGAGATTGATCGAAAAAACCCATTTTTATACATTACCTTTTGGCTTAATTGCTTGAACAAAAGACATATTGTAGTTAGGGTTCCATTCTCATCTCTGTCTGTAAGGTACTATTTTGATTTGAATTCAAAGGTAGTAGTGTTTTCCTTTACTGCTCTGCTCTGTATTTTAAAATACTTCTGCTTGGCCAAATTAATTAAGATATCTCCAAACAAAGGACTAAGTCTGGTGTTAAATGGGGTCAGCAAGATAATGTTCAAGACATATTGCTGTTAATTGAAAAGGCAGGTTTTGCAGTTGTGAGCATGGTATAATTCCATCGTAATTTTAAATCTAGGCATAGTGCTATGGAGTCACATATATAAACAAAGACACATAAAAAAATAGATGTCTATTTTCATAGCTATAGATACTGGGAGGTTTACAGAATCAATAGGAAGCTGGAGGAGCAGGCTTGGATAATGGGCGGGAATCAGGGCAGTTGCAGAAAGTCCTGGAGCAGGAGATGAGACAGTCACATTTCAGTCTGGCCAGGGATGACTGACCCACCAATGGATACTACTTCCAGAAACCAGTTCTCAGTGTGCTTCATCTCCACGTCACCCACTCATGTGCCCCAGACCCTCAATCAGGGGTCTTTACTCAGCCAAGTGCGGGGGCTGCCAGGGTGGGAAGACGGGGAGCTGGCACCCTTCACCTCTGTGGAGGAGAGGCATCCAGGGCACCACCAGAGCAGGGGTCTACTCTGATTACCATTTGCTGCTGCATTAAAAAAAACAAAAAAGGAAAAAACATCAGTTGTTATTGATCTTTATGTATTTGTCTCTAAGTCATTTTTCCACTTACACCTTCTTGAAAAAAAATGAAAAATTGGTATAGTCCAAAAAAATAAGCTGTTGTAGATAAAAGGGGCTTTGCTGGGGGAACCTCTGGCTAATAGTCTGTCTTCTATAGTCCTTTTCCTTTTCTATTATAGAACCTCAAGAATGGTATTTTTAAATGAAATAGCCTGTAAAGTCTAGAAAAAAGTTGCTAGAGTACAGAAAGTCAGTCTGCTGCCTTCTTTCAGCTCACATAGTCCCGCAGGTGCAGCTCTGGGTTTGGTTTCTAATTATTAACCTTATCTTTCTAGGCTAACCCGCACAACTACGATGCATGGTTCGATTACTTGCGCTTGGTTGAAAGCGACGCAGAGGCAGAGACGGTGCGGGAAGTCTACGAGCGAGCCATCGCCAACGTGCCGCCTGTGCAGGAGAAGAGGCACTGGAAGCGCTACATCTACCTGTGGATCAACTACGCCCTCTACGAGGAGCTGGAGGCGAAGGTGCAGAGCCTAGTCCTGGGGTGGCTGGGGGCGGGCTCCTCCCCCTGCGCGTTGGCCCTGCTGGCGCGGCTGGGAACTGATACCACATTTTATAAGGTTGTTTGTTTTTTGGGGTTTTTTTGGCTGCGTTGGGTCTTCGTTGCTGCACATGGGTTTTCTCTAGTTGCAGGGAGCGGGGGCTACTCTTCGTTGCAGTGCACGGGCTTCTCATTGCGGTGGCTTCTGTTGTTGTGGAGCATGGGCTCTAGGTGCATGGGCTTCAGTAGTTGTGGCTCGTAGGCTCAGTAGTTGCGGTACACGGGCTTCAGTAGTTGTGGCTCGTGGGCTCTAGGTACGCAGGCTCAGTAGTTGTGGTGCACGGGCTTAGTTGCTCTGCAGCATGTGGGATCTTCCTGGACCAGGGATCAAACCCACGTCCCCTGCGTTGGCAGGCGGGTTCTTAACCACTATGCCACCAGGGAAGTCCCCTCTGCCACGTTTTAAACTCTACACCTGTAGTGGACATAGGTGAGGTGGTTTTTAGTTTTGCTGTATTTTTTTTTAAACCTTGAGATGCAACAAGATTATTACTTGGAACTTGAAAGGGAACAATGAACTAGCCCTTAGTTTCATTATCTATAGTTTCCTGGGTTTTCTCATGAAGAGGGATCACAGCTGGATTGCACATTCTTACTTTTAGCAAATTTTCAGAAATTGGTTGTGTGTAAGTTAATAGGAAAATGTTAACTTTCTGCTGCTGATCCGAGACTGTAGAACATCTTTGTTTCTGCTGTCAGGCGAAAGAGTTTGAGGGCTGTATTGTGGGTGATTCTGTGATCAAAGTTTGATGGCCAGAGGCAGTTCAATTTTGATCATAAATGCAATCAGGGTTTGAAAATAACTTGTAGGAACATACTCAATGTTAGGGGTATATATTAGTAATAGTAAAATTAGTAATAGACGTAAATATTTTGTGCAAATTTCCTATCCTAATGCAGGATCCGGAGAGGACAAGACAAGTTTACCAAGCCTCTTTGGAACTCATTCCTCATAAAAAGGTATGTTTGCTCTAAATGTTCTGTTCCAGACAAATCAAACTCCTGCATCTGTTACTTGTGAAATAATTCAGTGAAATCATATTTATTGATTGGCTCTTCCCTGTGCTAGGCTCTGTGGAAAACATAAATAAGAATAAGATACACTCTTTGCCTCTGAAAACAGCTTACAGTCTAGTTGAGCAGGCAGCCTGTGTTAAGTGACCAATGACTGATATATATGCTAATGGAAAAATTCCAGGAGGATGGTAATCAGAAGAGACTGAGCTCAGCATGAGAGGGGACAGCCAACCGGCTGCTGGCACCTGTGTGGTCGTCTGCAGGCGCAGGGAACACGCGTGTTCTGGGGATGGTTGACACATGATCTCTGTGTATTTCCCAGCATGAGAGACACAGGTGTTGACCGAGTTGCCTTCTAGAATAGAGGGCCATGTTCTGCCTGATCACAGCACACCAACAAACCAAGCTGCCTCTCAGTAGGGGCTGCAGAGCCCTGCGTTATAGTGAAGTGCCTAGATTACTGTTCCTAATTTCTGTCAAATATTGTCTTCTTAGCTTATAAATGAAAAGATACATCTGTCCTAGCTCTGTAGCTTTAGGGAAGTTCGTCTGTGGCCCTTGTTAATTTAAATTTAACTTATGTGAGTTTTTGCGCTTTTGTTTTCTAGTTCACATTTGCCAAAATGTGGTTACTGTATGCACAGTTTGAAATAAGACAGAAAAATTTACCATTTGCCAGAAGAGCTTTGGTGAGTAAAGAAAGGCTCAAGATGCATCATTAAGTCCTTCGAGAAGGAAATTAAAATCTTAATGCTTACAGGTTATGTGATTCCTCTTGAGAAGGCAGCAGAAATACTGTGCCTTTATAACCTGAGACTTGTTCGAAAGCACGGCCTTTGAAGAAAGATTGGGTGATGATGCTTAAGTTATTCTGTGTCAACATTGGACAGTTAGAGATGTTTCAGATCTTTCCTCCGGCTAGAGACATCGGATCTTAGCTCTTTAGTATTCTGATCCTGTACAAGATTTTTGGTGTATTAAGTGCACCTTCCTCTTAACAAGTGTTCTAAAATTTCTTAATAGGATCAGATGCAGCTATCCTTCTGGTAAGCTACTCTCACCCTGGCTGTGGGCAGCAGGGTTCGTCCCTTGATTATCCTTTTACTCATGGGAGGTGTTGTCCATCTGACATCCGCATTCACTAGGACATCCTGAGAAACCAGGTGAAATTCAAAATAGTTTTCCGAACAGTTCTGCAACACTATATCTCTTGCAAAACAGGCCGACTTGACAGCTGAGTGAATTGGAGGGTTTCCTTTGGTCTCTGTCGAGCCAGTTTGAGCAGTGCGTTACTGCAGAGGGAGAGGGTGGTGCGCCATGTTGATGTGCCAAGGCTGTTGCTCAGCAGAGAACAGCTTCTAGGCCAGGCTGAGGATGTCTGCACAAGTCAGACCCACTCAGACATCACAGCGGTCGGTTATCTTTTTTTCCAGGGAACTTCCATAGGCAAGTGTCCGAAGAACAAGTTATTTAAAGGTTACATAGAACTGGAGCTACAGCTTCGAGAATTTGACAGATGCCGGAAGCTTTATGAAAAGTTCCTGGAATTTGGGCCTGAAAATTGTACCTCTTGGATTAAATTTGCAGAATTAGAGACAATCCTTGGCGATATCGAGAGAGCCCGGGCCATCTACGAGTTAGCCATCAGTCAGCCACGCTTGGACATGCCGGAGGTGAGGCCCGCGGGGTGACTATGGCTTTATCTTAGACGCTTGCCCAGTGTTACCTCAGATGACCTTGTGAATATGTGTGCCTCTTAGAGTATAAAGACCATCTCACCTATAGTCTTTTTCACTCAGATTAGGACTTCCTGTTTTGGAGACAGGAAGGCGGGGGAAGCAGCCCTCTCTAGTCAGGTAGCACAGCACAACACAGCCCCACTGTGACGCCAGGATGAATTGGGATCTTATGGGTGGGATCTTCCTCCCTTTCTCTTTTTCGTGGATTTTTTTTTTTTTTTTGCGGTACGCGGGCCTCTCACTGCTGTGGCCTCTCCCGTTGCGGAGCACAGGCTCCGAACGTGCAGGCTCAGGGGCCATGGCTCACGGGCCCAGCCGCTCCACGGCATGTGGGATCCTCCCGGACCGGGGCACGAACCCGCGTCCCCTGCATCGGGAGGCAGACTCCCAACCACTGCGCCACCAGAGAAGCCCTCCTCCCTTTCTCTTAACAGAAGGCTAAAGAGGATGAGCCAGGGCAGCGCAGTCAAGGCCACCTGGAGAACAAGGGAGGTAAAGGTTGAGACTGCACAGCCCCGGATCCCTCTGGTGCAGTTTTGCCTGGATTAGGCTCTCATTAAACCAGGATGTTCCTGGAGGTACCACTGCCCCTGTCCAGGCCGGCCTGGCTGGCCACAGGGCCTGAAATCATCCCGTCAGGATCTAAGCTTGAGCCGCGAGGTGGCACCAAACAACAGCTAGGACAGTGTGAACCTCTCAGGAACCACTGAGCTCGCTCAGTGACTCTCGCTCTGGTGTGACCCTGCACTGAGCGGTTCACCAGGCCCTGCTGACTGCACTGGGCAGGGCTCTATGTGTCACTGGTCCCATCACTTGGCCTCAGCCGCTCCACAGACTGCGGCCTCCAGGCGTCTGGGCCACATCTTCCTGGTCCCTGTGCCCTGACGGGCTGTGCCAGGCGGGTGGGCAGCTGTGCCCTGGATGCTTGTTGAGTTGGACTCAGGCATATCAGGGAACTTAGAGTGGAGACAAAAACGGTGTGCACTGGCTGATCTAGGCCTGTTTTCTCCCCGCAAGTCCGTGGTTTGTGGCAGCCTCATGACAGTGCCTGAGAGGTTTGGCAAGTTACCCTGCTCTTTTGATAAGTCTAGAAGAGAATCCAAAAGTGAACCCAAGGTCTTTTTTCTCATAATGTAGACACTTAGCCAAATTTTGGCCAGTCTGTAAACACCAGTATTATTTCTTGTATCCACATACAGTCTGTTCCTTAATTGGTCATGAACGTTCTAGGTTCCTAGATTTCCTAGGTTAGAATGCTAGTTAGGCTGTACTTTGGATAGGGGCATGTTGCTTCTTAAATGTCAAGACTGACCTATGAGGTTATCTTTCTTAGGTGCTTTGGAAATCATATATTGATTTTGAAATTGAGCAGGAAGAAACTGAAAGAACACGAAATCTTTACCGACGATTGCTTCAACGGACACAACATGTCAAGGTATCCTGTGCATTGTGGGTTATCTTTAATTTTGCTTGAATCAGCAGTCCAGAAGAAATAGTGTATTTCTATATTTTAAGTGTGTGGGATTTTTTAATATATTTATTTTATATGATTTCCTTACTTTTACAGAGAGCTTGTGAGTCTCAGAGGACTTTGGAATGTTAAGCTTATACCAGGTCAATATTTATACTGCGTGTAAATAACTTGGATATCGTAGGGTTGAATAAAAAATTAAACTTCAGGATTTTGAGACTATTTCAGACACCTAATTGGATGTAGAAGCAGACTGCTTCACCATTCCTATATAGAAGCATCTAGTCAGTCTGTTGTATTGAAATACTAGAGATGAACACGTTACTATGCTCAGATGTCACTAACAAGAAATTAGCTTTATTATTACATTGTTTTCTGGGTGACATGGTTAATTTGGTTCTTTAATAATATTTTTTAAGGTATGGATCAGTTTTGCACAGTTTGAGTTGTCCTCAGGGAAGGAAGGAAGTTTGGCTAAATGCAGACAAATTTATGAAGAGGCTAACAAAACCATGCGGAACTGTGAAGAAAAGGAAGAGAGACTTATGTTGCTGGAATCTTGGCGAAGCTTTGAAGATGAATTTGGAACAGTATCAGATAAGGAGAGAGTAGACCAACTCATGCCAGAGAAAGTCAAGAAGAGAAGAAAGGTCCAAGCTGATGATGGGGTAAGAACTGAGCCCCCGAGCTGGTCCTTCCCTGCCAGCTGAGCAGAAATGCACCCGACTTTGAAATGCATACTTTGAAGTGGCGTGTATACAATCTGAGAAAGGGGGTTGACAGCTGGAGGAGGAGACAGTCACAGTCTGGCTACCATGGCAACATAGCAGGGTGTATGGTCCACCCAGGGCTGGAGAACGGTGGGGGGTGGGGGTTGGCAAAGGTTCTTCCTGGTGCTTGGTTCCAGAAACTGCATGAAATGTATTTCCGGAGCATTAAGCAGGAGGTCAGGGTGGAGGCTTTGTAGGCTGTAGTAAAGCTCTGACACAGTTGGTGTTTCCTGCGGGTTGATTTGAGGGGCTTCGTTGGAGGAGGGTCTGTTGGGAGGCTATTGTAAGCAAAGCAAGGTGGTGTTGGGAGCTGGGACCAGGGCGACCTTTAGGAAGTGAAATCAGTGCCCGATTGGAGGTGGGATTCAAAGGCAGGGTGTCAGGATAATCACAGATTTATGGCTTTCACTATTGGGTAAATACTAAGTAAATCTTTAAAAATTTAAAGACTCACGTAAGACTGCAAGATGGGGTTGAAGACACTGACTGTCTTTTCGATTGACCATACAGGAGCTATGCTTAGATTTTTAGGGCATTTTCCACCAGGTTGTAGCTCTCAGTGAGTTACAGCTGCAGCAACACCCATCCAACAGCAATTACTCCCACTCTACCAGGCCAGGCCCTTCTAATTTCTCTTTGAAAATTCTGCTTTCCAAGTAGACTTTGATGTTGTTTTGCACAATGAAGGTAAGTTGAATTTGAACCCTGGGTTTCCCAGTGAGAATTCTCCACTTTAACTGAAACGTATTCCAGCCTTGTGTTAGCTTATCTTTTAACTGTTCTACTTTTTTCCTGTAGTCGGATGCAGGCTGGGAAGAATACTATGATTACATCTTTCCGGAAGATGCTGCCAACCAGCCCAACCTCAAGCTCCTGGCCATGGCCAAACTGTGGAAGAAACAGCAGCAGGAGAAGGAGCCTGGCGAGGAAGACCCAGATGCGGACGCTGCCGAGCAGGAGTCCGGGCCTTCCTGTTCCTGTTGAGAGATGTTTTATTATTTTTATAGATGTATAGTTTGGAACTCTTGCAACTCCTGTAAGTTTTTGGATATTTCACCAGTGATGAATCGATGGGAATCTTTGGCAGCTACTTTTGAATTATTTTTAAAAGGTTCTTGGGTTAGTTACGGGTGGGTTGCAAGTAAAGGAATCTTTTTAACTGTTGGATTTCTTTGAGTCTCAACATTTTGTGTTGTCCTAATGCATCATGCATTAGGAAATCCTTAAGGTAACACTTAGCGTGTCTTTTAGATCGAACTGCAAAATTTTGAAAGAGTCTTTTTTTAGAAGTTCTCAGTCACATCTCACAGTAACTTTTCAGGTGAAGTTTTCTCATGCTTGCCTTCTTCATAAAGATGTTTTATGCATTCATCTGAATCCTGTAACTTATTTACATCTTAAGAGTCACACTGACTTGAGTTCCATTCCCAGCTCTGCCACTTGGTGATACATAACGTTTATTTTCAGTTTCTTCACTCATAAAATGGGCTTTTGCCAGCTCATTTTGAAGATTAAATTAGAAAGGGAGTATTCCTGGCACAGAGTAAGTGCTCAATAAAATGTTCATTCCTGGCCACTTTCTTAAATAACGTTCATTCCTTGTGGAATTGAATGTGCTTAGATTAACTTCTAAATAGCTATACCTTCTTAATGGCCATTTATACTAAGTGTTTTTGAAAACACCAGTTAGAAAATAATTTACAGTTACTGTATTACTGAACAAGGTCTTTTTTTTTTACCAAAAACATTTTAGTTGAATTTCAGTTATGCTGTAATCAGTCTCCCAAACTAGTTGAGCTCTGCAGTGGCTTGTTTAAAGAATAGTAATGCAAGAGCGGTGAAAAACAATGTCCCATGCTCCAGTGAGTTTGGGAAACCCTAGGTTAAGGGTTAAGCCTTGTTGACAAATCTCTTCATAGTTAGGCTTCTCAGGGCCCTTGATAACACTCCCTATACATTGTGAATCCCCAGGTGCAATGCTGGCTGTGCTTCCCAAACTTAATGGACAAGGGAATCATCTCTACCTAGAGCACCAGTAAATGTTGCCCGGCGTGCTGCAGTAGACTGTCTACCTGTAAGACCTGACACGTTCAACTTAGCCTCGATTTAGAACGTGAAAAACAGCTGAGGTAACTATATGCTAAGTCATGAAACAAAGCAGCACAAGATGATAATGTACTTGCTGGCTGATATGCTGCTTATATTCTCAGGCAAAAAATACTTGCCTTAATTAACTCATCTGAGAGATTGTTTCCTTTAATCCAGCCTGTGTTTCTCAAGCCTATTTTTTTTTTGTTCACTACACAAGCTGTTTGACTAGAACCGTATCTTTGTGTTTTTTTCACCTATAAGGCCAATTAGCAAATATACTGTTTGCAAATTTATTATTACATTTTCAAGTGTATTATTCACCCAAGGGAATAAAAGCTAATCAATACAGTGTTAAATTGTATCTTGAAAATTGGGGGCAGAAGGAAATAGGACTAGCAGGTGAAAGCAACCTGCTCTTAGCCTCGCTACTTCAGTCACCTGACTAGCTTCAGCTGCTGGGATCAGAGGCTCTGACTGTTGAGTTCCAAGGTCTGTCCAGTCAGGGAAGAGGAGCACTGCTCTGAGTTGGCTAAGTACACAGGGCCACGGGGTGAGATGAAAACAGGCCAGATGCTACTCTAAGTAAGTGACTAATCATAATCATGTTCTGTTTGTGTCACATGTGTGTGTCAGGAAAAAAACTAGCAGTCAGGTTCTCATGTAAACTCCTAAGGCCACTTTCGGGCAGGTAATGTGCCAGTGTGAAATGCATGAAAGAAAAAATTACTCTCCTGGGAGAACCTCACTTCTCTCTCACCCTCAACTCCACCAAAATAAGTCCTTTCAAAAGTAACAGGGTTTTAATAATCATTTCTGTGATTTATTTCGTTTTCTTTAGCTACTGTTACTCACTGGATATTTTCAGATACTGCATGCGATGAAAACTACACATGAAAATATGTGGTTAGCCTGTGATCTAATTACGTGGCCTTTCTTTGGGAATTAGGTTCTTTTTCCCCTTTATTTTAGCATCTTTTTGTATTTTGTTGAAAGGCAGGATTTAAGCAAAGCACTGTGAGACTAGACAAAGAAAAGACCTGAGACCAGCAGTATGGAAACAAGTATCTGGGAAGAACTTTGCAATAAGAAGGACGCTTAAGTGTGCTGGGCAGGGACTGTCCAAGTAAGCAATTAAACAATGCTTTGTATATAAATGAAAAATGTAAGGGAAACAACATACCCTAAATGATGACCTTCTTCAATCCTGATAACCTGACGTTTATAAATGACCAAAAACCTTCCAGAAAACACTCGAGTCAACAGTGCATTTTATTATACATCTTAGATTTACACATTCCATATATGCTTTTAAAGCTTCAATTAACAGTTCAATACAAAATAAAAAATATATATGCAGCAGTGGTTCTCAGGCACAGAATTGAGGAGGAGATTGGAGCAAGCTTTTTCCCTAGCATACCATGAATATTACATTATGAACCATAACAGTGGAATGTTTCCTTTTGACCTAGCTGCCTTTTTTGGCTGAATTTTATTACAGTGGACAGCTTTAGAAGGTATGATATTGCTAATAGGAAACAAGACAAGTTTATAACCTGTTTTTTTCTTGAAGTCTTTAAGATCTAAACAATTCCCTTTTCTCCTAATAGAGCTCCAGGATCATCTAATGAAAATAATATTGTCCATAAAATATCTGGAGCATCATCAGCCTAAGAACCACTGCTCATGGTTATTCAATGTCTTCCGGCCTCACAGGATGAGGTAATGGTATGATGGATTTCTTCTCAGTGTCCCTGGAAAGTGCTTTCCTCATATCTGTTAGGAAGCAAAGTTTAATGTAAGTACCCAAATGTCAGAATATTTTATATCAAATTTAAAGTGTATAGGTTAAGAGGTTTTGTCCCCTACCCCCACTTCTACCATATTCTAAGAGAAATGTATTTGTAAGTGATTCTCAATCACAAGTACACCAAACCCCAGCTGGGATCCAGCTCTTCCTACAAATGTTCTTTTGACAGAACCTTAGTAAAAATGTGTCTGTACCAGTAAAACAATAATTGACAGTAATTAACCAATGGTTAGTTAATGTAAGTTAATCAGTGGTAGGTTCTTAAGGGTAGGTTAAAGCAGATTTAATTATAGCCCAGATTTTAAATATGATTCTCTTAAGTGTATTAAAATAGCCGAGTATTTCAGTCTGTAGGATGAATGTAGACATTTGGCTTCCTCTCAGGGGGGAGCTCACCGTAAGCATCCTCATCGGGCTCCCCGTTGCTGGCCGAATAGTACTCTATGACTGTCCTGTACACACTGTAGCCTAACTGCTTGTACATGTTGACTGCAACTTGGTTAGACACTCTTACAAAGAGATCAACAAAAAATCCACCCTTTCTGTAATTAAAAAAAAAAAAAAAAAATTAGAAGTCCTTGAAAATAATACATAATTTTTAAAACTACTTTGACTATTCATAGGATGGTACTATGAAACCCTGCAGTCAATTACATCATGTTATCAATTTTTACTGCCGAGGATTTTGCAGTACAAAAGATAACTGTAACATTTCAAAACCTACAGGTTTTCTTAAAAGATAAACTTTAAATTTTTACCACAATTCTGTTACCTGGCTTTAAAAATCATTTTACCAATTAGTCATATAATAGTTTCACCCAAGGTTTTGAAGAAAGCACCAATGTGGCCTTGTATAACTACAGGACACTGGTCACAGCTCTGAAGCCCTTGGGTCCCTCTGGTCAGTGACAGCCCCTTTATTACCCAGGTCTCCATGTCCTGACTCGTGTGGTCATCAGCGCCTTGCTTTATGCAGTAGACTTACCACCTGTTCTGGTTTATGTTTGTGAACATCACCTGAATGGAGTCAAACTTACTTTACTCTTTAGTGACTCGCCTCCCAGTCGGTACTGAGTCAGTCCCAGGGCAGCTGGAGCTTGTCCGTCCTCCCTGTGTTTAGTGTGTCCCTGTATGGACACACTATGAGATGTGAGATGTCTGTGGTCCTATACATTATCAACTATGCTGCTACGAGTATTTTGTTGTGTGTCTTGTGGTACATCCAGGATATCTAAGGTCTGCAGTTAGTGTCACTGCTGGCTCACAGGGACACCTTCAACTTTATCAGATAATGCCTGTCTCCCAGCCCACATGTGCCACCTGACACTCCCACAGGAGGGGGTAGACTCCTGATGGCATCTCAGGGCAATTTTAGCTGGCATTTCTGATTACTAACAAGGCTGATTATATTTGTGTCCACCATTAGATTTCTCATTCTGTATGGTCTTTATTGGTCGTTCTCCCCCACATGTAGTTCTCTATGTATTCTGGATATTCAGCCTTGTGTAAAGGATGGTGCAAGTCTTCTCCCCAATTTGCAAATCTTTTTCCAATTTGTGACTTGTCATCATCCTTATGTATCGTTTGATGAACAAAGTTACCGCACTCTAGTGAAGTTGAATATATGATTTCCTTGCACTTTTTAGGGCTTGAGAAGTTCTTTTCTACCCTGAGGTCATGGAGACACTCTCCTTTGAAGGGCTTTTTAGTTTTGCTCTTCACATATAGGTTTTTAATAAATATGGAATTGATCTGTGCATGATAAGGTACTAATGTGGGAAAATCTTTTCCCATATGGATATCCAGTGGTGCCACCACGTTTATTGGAAAGTGTATCCTTCCCCACCGATCTGCAGTTGCCTCCTCCAAGGTGTGTCTAAAGTCCATGTGTTCCTGAGTCTGTGTCTCAAATTCTGTTCCACTAGCCTAGACAATTACTCCACTCACTTTTTTGCTGTTCAAGAGTGTCTTACCTCTTTTTGGCTCCTTCCATTCCCTGTAAGTTTCAGAATCAACAAGTTGCACGGAAAAGACTTGTGATTTGGGTTGCAGTTACGCTGACTGTGGATCAGTTACCTGTCTACTGTAGAGACGGCTAACTCTATGCTGCAGCGGTAGTTCCTCCCTCCACTTAGGTAGGTCATCTGTTCTGTCTCTGGGTAAAGTTGTATAAACTTCAGAGAGGTCTTGCACAGCTTTTGTTAGATTTCTCCTAAGGGCTTAATGTACTGATGCCAATGCAAATCACATCCTCTTCTAAATGTTACTGTTTGTATAGAAAAGCAATTTAATTTATACTAACTTTATATCCAACAACTTAGCTTAACTTTTATTAAAATTCTAAATATTTGTAGATTCCTTCCTGTAGGTTTTCTATTTGTACAATCTTACCTATCCAAAATAACGGTTTTGTTTCTTCTCAAACCTTTTATTTTTCTTGCTTGCTTCACTTGTATGGTAGAGGATGATTTCCAGTAAATTACTGAAGAGAAGCCGACTTTAGGCATCCTGTCCTGTCCCAGAAATCATTCAGTGCATCACCACTCATATTTACTACAGGTTTTCAGTTTTTCAGGTTAAGTAAGTTTTCCTGTTGCTAACAGTTTTTATCAAGAGTGAACTCTGGATTGTATCAAAGCATTTTCTACATTTACTGAGATAAATATTCTTCAGCCTATTAACTGGTAGGATACATTCTAATATTAAAACAAACTTCCCCCGATATGTCATCCTTTTCATGAATTGCTGAATCCATTTTCCTAAGAATTTTCTGGGACTTTGCATCTGTCATGAGATTTTCCTTCCTCTTGTCAGGTTTTGTGATTGTTCCCTTTTTGTGTGTAAAAGTAAACTTAGTGTCATTATTTCTTAAATTGTGAAATTTGCAAATTTGCCAGAGAAGCCATAGCTTTCTTTGTGGAAAGATTCTGGCTAACTGACTGAAATTAGTTAAGGCAGGGGTCAGCTTTCAACCTATTTTTATGCTGCTCTCAAGCAAAGAATGGTTTTTTACAATTTTGAAGCAGCAATAGAGACCTGTGGCCTGTCTCTATTGTGAAGTGGCCTGTGAAGCCTTAACGTTTACTATCTGGCCCAGAAAAAGTTTGTTGACCCCTGTTCTGTACCCTTAATCAATTTCTGGCTGTCCTAACAATTAGGATGAGGCATGCTCATATCTCTAATTATGATGATTTGTCTATTTCTTCTTGTAGTTTTGTCAACTGTTGCATTTTTACTTTGAATTTGTCACTGGGTACGTACAGTTTTTAATTATTACATTTCCCTGATTAACTCTTTTCAGTATGCAGACCCTTTTTTATTTTCGTAATTATTGAACTATAATGTGACTTGTTAATTTAAGCACACCCTGTTAGAATTTGCATAATTAAAAAAAATTTCTTTACTTTCGATCTTTAACCTTTATACATATTTCCTGTAAATAGAATACAGTTCTGACAGTCCATCATTTTTTAATGTTACTGTCCTAAGAATACATGAGATCTACCCTCTCAATAAATTTTAAATGTACACTATCTTCAAGTGTAGGTATACAAGGTTATATATCAAACTCTAGAGCTTATTCTTCTTGCTGAACTGAAACTTTAGTAACTTGACATTTCCCCCGTCCCCAGCCACCACCATTCCACTCTTCATGAATTTAACTACTTTAGGTATCTAAGTGGAATCACACAATATTTGTCTTCCTGTGCCTGGTTCACTTGGCATAATACCGTCTTTTAACGGGAGTCATTAGTCCATTAACATTTGCTGTTGTATTTATCAATTACTACATTTATCAATTATATTTGGATTCACTGCTACCGCCTTATTTCATGCGTTTTATTTGTTTTGCTACTTTAGTTTCCTTTTTTTCTTTGGAATTGACTTTTATTATCCTATTTTTCTCTTTGGATATTATATACTGTTTCTATTTTTAGTGTACACATTTAATGTATACATTAAAAATATATGTGTGTGTGTGTGTGTATATACGTATACACACACACACCCCCTACACAAATATAGGCCACTTAAATCTTAGCAACTATTGTAAAGTAAATGAACGTTTAGACCCTGTAAGGGAAGGGAGCATAGTGGTTTTCTACTCTAAGAGATGGTCTATCCTATAAATACATTAAATCTGATGTGCAATTAGAACAGTTCCTAACTCCCTGTCAACTATACATGATAATGCCAAATACTTGTTTTCAACAAGATATGCCATTAACCAATGTGTGTAAACTACAATCTTGCTAAAGATTTTCCCTCTTCTGTATTCACTCTAGGAAGAATTTTTTAAGTTCTTAAGGACTAGACTTTTTCAGCTAAATTAAGAATGAGCTCAGGTTCCTCTTGCCCTTGACTTGGCTCAGTGTTTTCAGGCCATGGTTACTTCTTTAAAATGTTCCACTTTAATGGATTTAATAAAAGTAACACATAGTGAGTGAGTGTTTGACACATAAAACAGGTCTGAAAAAGAAGCTACAATATTTGCAGCTCTCAAACTCATGGAGGTGCATATTTCAAATGTTTGGGGAAAACGTAGGCAAACCTTACATGTTGTACACTGGCAAACTACTAGCTTTATATAGTTCACAAATACACATCATATCACATTATATTCCTTTTGGTGACATAGTATCTTTATGAAGCCAGGCTTCTGGCAATTCCTGTGATTACGTGAAAATCAACATGGAACAAGAATGCTGGCAGTTCTGCAGACTCTGGTTCCAAGGTTTGAGAAGCATGCAATGCCCAGCAGGTACACACATCTCATTAGGAGGTAACCACAGTTATTTAACAATGAAATGAAAATATTTTTTTCTTCCTAATAGCTACTAGCTTGCTGGGACACAACTGCTTAAGACTACACTTCTGTTTAGCCTAGGGCACTATGAGAAAATGACTGAGATGCCAAGGACAGTGTTAAGGAAGAATTTGGAAACACCTGCTGCAGTGGCAAGAACACTAACAGAAACCTTGAGGGCTAGATTTTGATTCCACCAGTTACGCAGCTCATAAGCCTATGGCAGGTCACTCACACTGCCTTAATTTTCCTCAGTGGCCAAACAGGAACAATAATATCACTCTGAATATGTGACAGAATTGGTATAAGGACTATTAGAGGCTGAAAATGAAATTCCTATGAAACTGCATCATGACAGATGTTCAATCTGAAGGAAAAAATCTGATAAAACATTCACCAAGAGAAAACTCAAATGGTTAGAGTTCAAAAATCATTTGCAAAGCAGGTGCCTACCTTTCTGAAATCTCCTCTAATAACTCCATAAGCTTAGCAGCCAGACCAAGGCGTCGGAATTCCGGGGCAACAGACAGAGCTGTGACGTGCCCATGCCACTCTTCCCTCGCCACCGAGCCTTCTGCTTTGCCCATGACTGCCAATGAAAGATCACATCCAGTAACTAACACGAGGATTTACACATACAGAAATGCTGTTTAGTACATTTTTATTATAAAGGAAACTAATGACCAAGTTCTGATCTTTAAGCAATACTTAAAAGTCATCTAGCTAATTGTTATTAATGCTTTTACTTGATAAGTATTTTTTTAAATATCTACATTTCATGTGGGTATGTATGTGTGTCATGTACACATAACAGACAATCTACAGCTCAAATTTTTGTTAGCAATGCAACCAAGTCTGGGTCACTGCTCTATCCCCTGGGCCTAGCATAGTACCTAAAATAGAACGGATCAGAAGGGATCAGTGAGCTGTGAAATGGTTGAAAAGGAAATAAAATTATGGGCATCACAATTATACTTCCCGTTCTGTGATCAATATAAAATAATCAGTTAAAACCTATATTTTAATCTCAACTGCCTATCCAAAAAAGTACTAGTGGTATTATACTTACTATAACCCATTAACTCTCCACCAGGGGCCTCTGCAACAATGAAGTACTCTGGCCAGTGGGCGAGGTACTGTAAGTAAAAAGGAATCCCATACTAGAGTCTTGTTAAGGAGGATGCAAAGTAATGGACAGTCAGATTTCTTCATGAAAGGGATATTTTCAAGTTTCCTTTAAAAAGTATATTGTTTATCCCCAGCCATATGTATGACTTCCATAATCAATTTATTGGATGAAATATTTAGGTTAAGCACTAATTTTTAAGAAAATTGACTGAATATATATAAACTCAAATGTGACTGGAGACAGTAGCATCCAATAGACAGCAAAGAACCAGGCTCTCAAGTTCTACAGTCGTCTCCCCCGCTGCTCACACTGTGTCTAGATCCCTGCACAGCACTTTATCCATAATCACCTGATACTCTACTTGTTTACTGTCTCCCCTTGGAACATGTATGCCATGTTCCCTCTATCCCTGGTGCTTGGCAAACAGCACATGCTCAGTATGTTTATTTTTCATAATTGCACTGGGAAATTAACGACTAGTTCCTACATTAGCTTCAGCCATGGGACAGTGAAAATAACTTTAAACTTAAGTATTTCCAAAGGCTACTTAACAAACCTAGTTTTTCCCCTCCACCAATTCAAGGTCTCCATTTCTAGTAATGCAAAAAAAAAAAAAAAGCTGACTTAAAAGTGAATGCCTGAGTACTGCTCATTACTTAACTCTTCAACCCTGGTGTCCTTGCTGACTTGTACTCAATTCCTGTCCTCCTCCTTAGTATAAGCTTGCTGATGCAGTTCTATAAGGGGACACCATCAATCATTTTTTTTTAAACTTCCTGGAAAATCTGTTCAGTGTAAATTCTTCAAACTCTCCTCTGAAGAACAGCCTTTATTCTGTCTCTTCAAACATAACCCTTAACATGGCAGTTGTCAAGTCCTTCTGCCATCCAGCCACTGACATCATAACCATCTCTTCTCTGGCTACTGGAGGAGCCCCTGGCTCAAGCTCATGGACCAAGAAGCCCTGGCAGGTTACTCTGAAACGTGGCCTCACCTGGATTATGGGACTTTCACCAAAAACTTTTAAGTGTAACGGGAAGCACACCACATAAATTGATTTGCATCCTAATACTTTCCTAATACTTTCCCTTATATACAGTGAAAATTTTCTGCCATTCAGAATTCTTCAAACTCCTTTTACTTTTTTATAAACATGGAGAAGTCTTTAATAGGTCAATGTTTTAAATACAAATGAAAATTATGGAGTCTTTTTCCATTCAACTTTGTTTCTGATATGTAGCCCTGTTGCTGCATGTATCTATAGTTGATTTTTACTGCTGTTACTGACATTAACTCAGGGGCTAACAAAATAACAAACATTTTCTCTAAAGAGCTAGACTGGAGGGTGGGGGGAGTGGGTGATGAATTGGGAAATTGGGATTGACATATACACTATTGATACTATGTATAAAATAGATAACTAACAAGAACCTAAAGTAAAGCACAGGAAACTCAATGCTTTGTGGTAACCTAAATGGGAAGGAAATCGAAAAAAGAGGAAATATATGTATAACTGATTCACTTTGCTGTACACCTGAAGCTAACAAAACACTATAAAGCAACTATACTCCAATAAAAATCAGAAAACAAAAAAGGAGACAGACAGTAAATATTCAAGGCTGTGTGGACCATATTGGCCTCTGTTGCAGCTACTCAAACTGTGAAAACCACAACAAAACCTAAAGGAACTTCTCTGTGGAAAAGGCCACAACTAGAATCAAGAAAATTACAAATGGGAAAGCTCACTGGTAAAGGCAAACATAAAGGTAGGAAACCATCCACACATAAATATGATATCAAAATCAGCAACCATGAGAAGAGTACAAATGCAGGATACTGGAAATGCACTGGAAATTGAGACCAGCAACTTAAAACAATCTTGTAGTTATACAGACTGCTCTATCAAAACCTCATGGGAACCACAAACCAAAACTCTACCATAGATACACACACAAAAAAGAAAAAGCAATCCAAACAACACTAAAGACAGACATCAAATCACAAGAGAACAAGAGGAAAGGAAGAAAAAAGACCTTCAAAAACAAACCCCAATTAACAAAACAGCAGTAAGAACACTTATTGATAATTACCTTAAATGTAAATGGATTAAATGCTCCAACAGACACAGACTGGCTAAATGGATACAAAAACAAGACCCATATATATGCCATCTACAAGAGACCTACTTCTTATCTAGGGACACATACAGACAAAGTGAGGGGATGGAAAAAGGTATTCCATGCAAATGGAATTCAAAAGAAAGCAGGAGTAGCAATACTCATATCAGACAAAACAAACTTTAAAGACTTACAAAAGATCAGGAAGGACACTACATAATGATCAAGGGATCAATCCAAGAAAAGGATGTAACAATTGTAAATATACAGACACCCAACATAGGAGCACCTCAATACATAAGGCAAATGGTAACAGCTACAAAAAGAGAAGTTGACAGTAACACAATAATGGGGGGGGGGGGACTTTAACACACCACTTTCATCAGTGGACAGATCGTTCAGACAGAAAATCAATCAGGAAACACAGGCCTTAAATGACACATCAGACCAGATGGCCTTAACTGATATTTATAGATCATTCCATCCAAAAGCAGAATACACTGTCTTCTCAAGTGCACATGGAACATTCTCCAGGACAGATCACATATTGGGCCACAAATCAAGCCTCAGTAAATTTAAGAAAATTGAAATCACATCAAGCATCTTTTTCTGACCACAATGCTATGAGATTAGAAATCAATTACAGGCAAAAAAAATTGTAAAAAAACACAAACACATGGAGGCTAAACAATATGTTACTAAACAACCAATGGATCACTGAAGAAATCAAAGAAGAAATCAAGTACCTAAAGACAAATGACATCAAAAACACAGCAATCCAAAACCTATGGGACACAGCAAAAGCAGTTCTAAGAGGGAAGTTTATAGCAATACAATCTTACCTCAGAAAACAAAAATCTCAAGTAAACAACCTACCCTTACACCTAAAGCAACCAGAGAGAGTACAAAAAAAGAAAAAAAAAAAAACCCCAAAGTTAGTAAAAGTAAAGAAATCATAAAGATCAGAGCAGAAATAAATGAAATAGAGACAAAAAAGATCAATGAAACTAAAAGCTGGGTCTTTGAGAAGATAAGCAAAATGGATAAACCTTTAGCCAGACTCAAAAACAAAGGGAGAGGGCTCAAATCAATAAGATCAGAAATGAAGAAGTTACAACTGACATCACAGAAAAACAATCATAATAGACTACTACAAACAACTGTATACCAATAAAACAGACAACCTAGAAGAAATGGACAAATTCTTAGAAAGATACAACCTTCCAAGACTGAACCAGAAAAAAATACAAAATATGAACAGACTAATCACAAGTACTGAAATTGAAACAGTGTTTAAGAAACTTTCAACAAAGAAAAGTCCAGGACCACATGGCTTCACAGGCAAATTCTATCAACATTCAGAGAAGAGTTAACACCTATCCTTCTGAAACTCTTCCAACAAACTGCAGAGGAAAGAATACTCCCAACCTCATTCTGTGAGGCCATCATCACCCTGATATCAAAACCAGACAAAGATACCACAAAAAAAATTACAGGTCAATATCACTGATGAACATAAGTGCAAAAATCCTCAACCAAATACTAGTTAACTGAATCAAACAATACATTAAAAGGATCATACACCATGATCAAGTGGGCTTTATCCAAGGGATGCAAGGATGCTTCAATATCTGCAAATCAGTGTGATACACCACAACAACAAACAAGAATAAAAACCATATGATCATCTCAATAGATGCAGAAAAAGCTTTTGACAAAATTCAACACTGATTTATGATAAGAACTCTCCAGAAAGTGGGCATAGAGGGAAGTTACCTAAACATAATAAAGGCCATATATGACAAACCCACAGCTAACATCATTCTCAACAGTGAAAAGCTGAGGGCATTCCATCTAAGATCAGGAACAAGGCAAAGATGTCCACTGTCACCACTTTTATTCAACATAGTTTTGGAAGTCCTAGCCATGGCAATCAGAGAAAAAGAAATAAAAGGAATCCAAATTGGAAAAGAAGTACTATCATCACTGCAGATAAAATGATACCACACATAGCAAATCCTGAAGATTCTACCAGAAAACTACTAGGGCTCATCAATGATTCTGGTAAAGTTGCAGGATGCAAAATTAAGACACAGAAATCTCTTCCCTTCCTGTACACTAACAATGAAAGGCCAAAAAAGAGAAATTAAGGAAATAATCCCACTTACCATCACATCAAAAAGAATAAAACACCTAGGAATAAACTTACCAAGGGGACAAAAGACCTGTACTCTGAAAACTATAAGATGCTGATGAAAGAAATCGAAGATGACACAAACGGAAAGACATACCATGCTCTTTGATTGAAAGAATCAATACTGTCAAAATGACTATACTACCCAAGGCAATCAGATTCAACTACAATCCCTATCAATTAGCAATGGCATTTTTCACAGAACTAGAACCAAAAAAATTTTAAATTTGTATGGAAACACAAAAGACCCCTAATAGCAAAAGCAATCCTGAGAATGAAAAACAGAGCTGGAGCAATCAGGCTCGCTGACTTCAGGCTATATTACAATGCTACAGTCATCAAAACAGTATGGTACTGGCACAAAAACAAATACAACTCAATGGAACAGGATAGAAAGCCGAGAGATAAACCCACACACCTATGGTCAACTAATCTATGACAAAGGAGGCAGGAATATACAATGGAGAAAAGACAGTCTCTTCAATAAGTGAGGCTGTGAAAATTGGACAGCTACAAGTAAAAGAATGAAGTTATTAGCACACTCCCTAACACCATACACAAAAATAAACTCAAAACAGATTAAAGACTTAAATGAAGGCCAGACACTATAAAACTTAGAGGAAAACAGGCAAAACACTCTTTGACATAAATTGCAGCAGTATCTTCTTTGATCCACCTCCTAGAGTAATGAAAATAAAAACAAAAATAAATGGGACCTAA